GTCCACTCCAGCTCATCCCAAAGGTATTGGGTGGAGCTCAATCACTCCAGAGAATGCAGTTCCACTTCTCCCTAGCCCAGTGCTGGGGCTTCATAGGAGGCCTTTCTAAGGAGATTATACACTTTTTTTTGTTTAATATAAGTGTTTGTGCACTTGAACACCCGTGTCAGGAATAGGTGCACCTTAAAGTAGCTAAATTCACTAATTACAAGAAGTGTCTGGATACTTGTGGACATATATGTTGAGTTGATTTCTTCACCCTTCCCGAACCAGGGCCTACTGACACATCTCTCCTGAGCGTTCTGTCGCCCCCTGCTGGTACAGAAACAACCTCTCTGGTGTAGGTGATTCTAAACCAGCAACCTGCAGAGATGGACAATGAATAGTTACATTGCTTTTACTTTCATGTACTCATGTAAAATTTTAATGGATTATACTTCTCTATCATTTTTAGATGAAAGCAATTGACTTTACTATGTAAAAAGTAATCTAGTTACATTTTAGATTTGAACGTTTTATATATTAAGCTCCTAATTGCTTTCTTATGTTTGATTTTATTATGTAATGCTGGTGACAGTATCTGTACTGCTTTAATATCAGTCACACCTCTCATTCCAGAGGCTCCTCATTTAAACCAAGAATGCATCAAAAAGACAACAGCAGAAAAACAGGACCTAACAAACTTCACTTCCTTTGCTGATAGATTTTGGATGTATTATGAAGTTTCACTGCAGTTCTATAAGATCCTCAGTACTGAAGTAGTTTTTTTAACCTGGTACTTGTATACTATTGTTTTTAGAAATAAACTTTTATTTGAATTACTAACTTTCAAACAATCAGGAATTCTTGTATGAGTTGAGGATATTCTATCTCTACCTTCATCTGGCAGCCTGAATGCTGGCAAAACAATAGGCCATAATACAGAACAATCAACGTTTCTCATACAAATATATATATATATATATAAATATTTAATTGATATTTTGGGATAAATTGTCAGCATATTGCAATATATTTCATTTTTATACGGTACTATGCAAAAGTCAAGTTTCTATCTATATAACTATTTTTTAATCAGTGTTTATCTTTGTAACTATCTCTCTATTCATGTATCTCTCTATCCTCCTATGTATTTATGTATGCAAAGTTGTATGTATGTGCAAAAATTTTAACACCCCTCAAATTACACGTTTTATTGATTTTCTAAGTGCAAAATAAGTTAACACATTAACACAGAAAACACACTTAAATATGGCATTTTTCTAGTTCACAGTTTTCATTTATTTGCATAACTTTTGCACAGGCAACGTTTTATTTCCCATCCTCCTCCCCGCAGATGTGTTAAATTTAGCAAATAAACATAAACCATATATTACAAAATAAAGTACATGAACTTATTTTCACTTCGAAAATCAACAATACTTGTCATTTGACCAGGGGCGCCAAAACTTTTGCATACGACTGTAACTATCAGAAGTGCTGATATAATCCCACCCCTCCCACACACTTTCTGATTTCCGCATTAGGGAAAATACTCCTAATCAGCAGACTCTGATGATATTTGGCTTGATTGTGTGAATAATTATTGGCCCCCATGCGGCCCATTCGGAGCCTGAAGTGAACTTGAGTTTTTACTTCTGTTTTTTTTCTGAAATCAGCCCCACGGAGGGTCTGACTCTATTCAGAGGCTATTAATGGTGTTGACCTTGGCGGGAGTGTAATTAATGAGTTTTGGCTGGGTTCGCCGGGTTGAATTGTATGTTAAAATGGAGCAAAAGCAGCACGTGCAGCTCGGCCCCCAGCGGCCCTCATGGCTCTAAATGGAAGGGCTGTGTTGGAGAAAAGACGTTTCTCTAGAGTACCGGACCTGAGCGCTACAGTAGCATGAGCACATTTAAAAGTAATTACCCCATCATGTTCCAGCGCACACGTCCCAAACGAACGGTGGAAGAGCTTGCAACAAAATCAGACTTTTTTCATCAGTGTTGTGTAGCAGTGTTGTGTAGTTCTTCAGATTGATGGAGAACGTGCTGAAGATAAAGCATGTTTTTGAAAAGGGCTCTGTAAAGCACCAAAAAGGGTTCCTCTATTGTTACGCATGTAAAAATAACAGAACCCTTTCTGGAGCTATATAGAAAAGGTTCTATAGAGAACAATATACAACACATTCTCCATCAACCTGAAGAACCTTTCATGATGCAAAGAATGCTTTATTCATGTAAAGGGTTTCTTTGAATATTCACGATTCAATATAGAACCATTTTCTTTACTAAAGAACCCATGAAGAACCATATTTTTTAAGTTTGTAGTCCTAATGTATTACTGGAAAAGTAACTTAACTACCAAACTTGGCAAAGCTTGCTGGTTTGTTCTTACAAAAAAGGAAAGTCCGCATCAATAATTATCACTAAGGCAATAAGTGGTCACATCCTTCGAAAAACAAGCACAGACCAGCATGTCTGGTCTCAGGAAAACCAGCATATGTTGTGTTCGGATGCTGGTATGCTGGTCAGCAGCAGTGGAAGTTGTTATGCTGATCACTGGCAAAAGCACCATATGTTGTGTTTGGAAAGCTGGTATGCTGGTCAACCAGCATGACCATGTTGGGTGACCAGCTAAACCAGCACATGACCAGGATTAGACCAGCATAAAGCAGTTTAGACCAGCATGGAATGCATGCTAGTCTGTGTTTTTTCAGCAGGGATGTCATAACACTTGATGTGCTTTGATAAGAACAATACGAGCATAAAACAGCTAGAAATATTCAGAAGAATTACAGAATGAGGGGACGTCATCTGTGTAGACTCCCACCGAACTGATAAAGAAAAGCTAAATTAAGTAAACGTAATCAAATACGATATTACTGAACTTACATGAAGCTTGCTCAAAATCTGTTTTCAGTGAGCTAAAATTGTGTTTCTGTGTGGACAGAAAACAGTGTTTTCTAAAATATCTGTGTTGAAGTGAATGGGGTCTGAAACACCAGATGAGGTGAAGGACAGTGATACACTGCCCATTAAAAGTTTTGTGACACCCAGATTTCAAAATGCTTGAAATGAATTGTATGTTTTTGGTGTGTTCACCGGCAAAACCACCATATTTTTCAGTACCTTAACCCCCTTAAATTCCCAGACTTATTACATACTAAGGCTTATTATTCAGTATTTACAGGGCACTGGTTGAGCTATTCTGAGGTTATAGAAGTGTATACTAAAACTTTGGGCCATTTAAGGGGTTAAAGGACCCATATCCTATATTTTTCTTCCATTTAATTTTTTCCCCCCTGAGATCCACTTATGACATTTGTGTGGTTTTATGCAGCAAAAACAGTCATGATTCATTTTTACATGACCATTTTCCAATCTCTCTTTATTCCTTACAATTAAACAGGCTGTTTTTGTTAGTGTGTCTATATGTAAACAAGATCTGTTCTGATTAGCTTCCCCGCACTTTTAAAAATAATGGTTCTTCAGTAAAAAAAATGGTTCTATATAGAACTATGAACACTCAGAGAACCCTTTTTTGAAAAGGGTTATCTATTGTTACAGGCTTGACCTTATAACAATATCATGCAAAGGGTTCTTTGAGTGTTCATGGTTCTATATCACCATTTTCTACACTAAAAAAACCCTTGAGGAACCATAATTTTAAGAGTGTATATTGTACCTCATTCAAAATCCAGTTTGGACTGAAAGACTCTTTTTAACTTCAGGCGTGAGTGGGAAAATAAAGCAAATTATGTTTTTTTTGTCTTTTCAAAAACTTCAAAAGAAGGCATCTCCAAACTTTTCATGGAAGTATGAGTAGGTAAAACCATAAGTTGTTCAAAAATAGCTGCTCATAAAGACACTTAATATGGTAGGCAATCATGAACATACAGTACTGGGAAAAAGTTTTAGGCATCTGAGAAAATGTATTTAAAAAGCAATTAATCTGGGCACTAATATTACAAATAATGAAGATAACATTAATACAAAACGTGATTTTATGTATGTCGATGTGTTTGTTTTAATCATTTCCAAATCTCTCCTTAAGGGCAAATTAACTCTAATACATCTGATTCAGCCAGTCAGGGACTTGGAAAGAGTTTGTTTGACTGGAGCGAGAAGGCTGCTCTCCAGAACCAGGGTTGGAGGCCACAGTTCTAGAGAAACTTACCAAGTTAGAACTGTTCACACTGGTGATGATAGGAACCAGCCGTCTGAAGAACAATACTGCAGAAAGTTATTACATTAAACCTCCCTGCTGTCTGAGACTTGTTTCTGTTCATTCAGAGATAAGCTTTTGGCCTAAAATGTAATTTTTCAAATCTACTCATGGCAGAGAGGTACATACAGGGAGTTCTAAGGCAAAATAGAACCCAAAGAAAACTTATTTTCCACATTTACCTCCATTTTATCATCAATATAACATATAAAACTCTGAAGATACGTGTAGGTTCACTGGTGGTTTTAGGTAGTAAATAAAATGGCTTTACTTGTGTTGCAGACATTGTGACACCTGGTTCCTATCACCACCACTGTAATGAAAATCTGAGTTTTTAGGTCTATAGAACAGAGCATTTCACATCAAACCACTCTCAATGATTTTGTTTATGTCTGAAAGATTGAATTATGCAGAAAATGTTAAAAGTCTGTGGAAGGATTACTTGTAGTTATCATCCATACCTGGCTTAAATCAATGCTTTGTTAAGTTAAATGAAGTGTGCAGATGATGGAATCGAACAAATCCATGTGATGGCTCAGGGCACTGAAAAGAAATCTGGAATTGAACTCGGTTCTTCAAACTAGATATCATAAGATATCAACTACTTTTTAAAATATTATTTTTATTTGCAATTTGTCTAATGCTGTATGGTGTTTTTGCAAGGACAAGCACATTTATTTCCAAGGTGCATGGTTTTAAACAGTGTGCTTAGGTGACTTTTGCACAGTACTATATGCAAAGTTTTAAATACAACAAAGGGAATCGAGAAAAACATGAAAGGCCAGACGCAAAGGTAACATTCACTGCCCTGGTACAGTGGATGCATTTAATTGGTTGAACATATAAAAATAAACCACAACAAAGCAACACACATTTTGTACAAATAAAAACCTGAAATAGTTCCATTGACAAAGATCGATCTGAGTGTGTTTCAAATCAGAAAGGTGGATACAAGATTTACACTGATAACTAAAACACTGCAATTGATCAGCAAACCGTTGTAAAGAATGTACATAATCTATTATCAAAATAAAATTCATGGCGTGACTGTACGGGTATTTAAAAGAGCTGCATAATAATAATAATAATAATAATAATAATAACAGTAATAATAATAATAATAATAATGTAACATTTTAAATGGATGACCTGTTGCAGTTGACAAAATAAAAACAAAAGGGGTAAAAAAAACACTTTCACTAAGACAAAAATGGAACTATTGCCGAAACTCAATGAGGCATGTTAATGACGAGGTTTCTAAGGGGCTCTCACACTGATAAAATATTTCAAACAAAAAACTCTTAAGAATTATACAAGTATAAAAGGCTACAAACATTAATAAATTACATCACTGACACAGAAAACACTTCACAAGGTGCTAGTAAAATAACTTTTGACTCCCAGTCGGGGGTATTTGAAGTTGAACGCGAGGCTGGTCTTTCAAAAACTTTGCTTTTGTCTTGACATTATTATTATTATCATTTCTTTTTTTCTTGTTTTTTGTCAAAGTTTCCTCCCCTGTTGTAACTGAATCGATACAATACATGTAGCTTCGTGTATGTAAGGCCATATGATATTTTATGCTGTGATGATTCTTTTGTTCTCCAGGCAACACCAAAGAAAAAAAAGATAAAACAAAGATGGTTAAAAAAACAAAGCACTGCTATTGTGTATCTAAAAAGACAAAAGAAAAAAAAAAAATAAAACAAAAACAAAAACCAAAAATAGAACGAAATGACTATTTCTATATCTTTATATATACTTTTTTTGTTTATAATTTGCAAAAAACTAGTAAAAATGTATAATGAAGTATTAAGGAAAAAGGATACAAAACGTAGTCATTTAAAAAGCTATATACAGGCTACATTCTACATACTGTACTGTGAAGCAATACAAATGCATATTTCAGTCTAGGGTAACGGGTGCTGCCTGCGAGACAAACAGAGGAGAGAAAGTATCCCTATGTAGTGATACACATCGACGTGGATGAGGCTTATCAGAGCTGTAAGGTCCCACGGAGTTAGTGTCTTTTTTATTTTTGGAGAACTGTTTATAAACAAAAACAAGCGCAACATTTACAGACGATACAGTAACTTGAAACGATAAATACATGAAACGCTAATGTTAATTCACAAGCTGTGGCGCCATAGGACGTCCAACATCTCAAACAAGATGACATAAAACCACCTTGATGCAGGAATCAGGGTTAAAAATTCTTTTGAGTATTGCTAACATTTTTTACTACAATGTACTAGTTTGTTAGATTGAGATGAAAATATATCTTAGTAAAATGAGAAAATATATGTATTTTAATGTATGTAATTAACCTGAAATGTTGGTTTTCACTCATGATATGCATGTAATGATTTGTGACGAAATGGTAGAATTTGTTTCTGTTAAAACATACAAATGTCCTATTGTTAAAAAAAAACGAAAAAAAAATCATAAAAAACAAATATGAAATATTAGATGAAGCGCTACAGTTCATGGTTCACAGTAGCTGTTATAAAAAAAAAAAACATTTAAAACTACTCACAATATCACTCAGTTTTTGTGCTTCGTTGATGTCTTTAAGTGCCTTTTGGCTTTCCTCAAACTACCTATGACATGTACAATTATATTAGGTCAATAAATATTATCAGTGATAGTGCTTAGCAAACGAAAAGTAACTCGTTCCATGAAAGTAATGCTTACAAAACAAGAGACCCTTTTATCACAAGGAGAGTCGATAGAAAACGTGGGGTGTTAGACTGGTGCAGGGCAGTCGCTGTGAAAATTCTCAAAAAACAAAAAGTCTCCATTAATACTTTTTCAACATCAAAAGACAATGATAAGCCACATCCAAAAAAGCTGGATTTCAACCCCCTCCCCCCATCCTAAACCCCCCTCTAACCAATGCATGCATGCAACTGGACACATGCAAGGGATACTTTCTTTATCTTGGAATGACTGCTATGTATTTCATAATATCTTAGCAACCCCTGATAAACTGACAGCTGTAGTAAAACGAGACAAATTCTTCTTACAAAATATTAATAGCAGGTATTCTGTACATTTTTTAATATCTGAAAGTTATAAAGTATAAGTAGAGGCAAAAACCTATTTGAGCTATGTTCTTCTTAGAAATCGAAAAGTCGCGATTCTTCTCGCAATCCCCTTCCTACTTTCAGTTCTTGCTGTTCACGTCCCCAGTGTTTTTTGTTTTTTTGGGGGGGCGGGGGGGGTGGGTGGTGGTGGGGGGAGAGGGAGGGATGGGTTTGGCTAGTCCACGCGGGGTCCATAAGATCGTCATCAGGAGAAAACGTGGCCCCCCTCTCCGCTGTCCCAGTTACAGCAGGAGCTTCCCGTTCCGATGGATCTTTAAGATTTTTCCAAGTCTCTGTTTGGCCGTTGCCATGCCTTTCTTTAGCCTCTTGGCTGGAAGACGGGAAAAAAAAACAATGTTAATGACATATGCAACCCCTGAATGATGATTTTTTTTATAGATAAAACACATGATCAGTCATGAGGACTACTTAGGACTTAGGATTAGTCACTATAATGACAATATCATGAAAAAAGTGCATGTATGTTGTCGGTGTATGGATTACTTAAAAAACAAATTGTACAGCAACGCTTTATGTGGTTCATATAACACACGTGTCTTTGTGACAGATTGTAATACTGTACAGGAAGTGTAGGGGTTGCTATGGCTACTATTGTCCTTTGCACCATGAAAGAAGAAACTACTTGTTGTACAGATGGAACTAAATCATAGCGGAGGTAGAAAGAGGGAAAGGAAGGATGGCATAATAGTTACATTTGCAATCACAATTTTTAAAAACAAATTCAATAATTTTAATACCTTTTTAAGCCCTTCACGAGACAAAAAAATTCAATTTTGTGCCTCTCAATCTCATACAAGTCCTTTAATGTTGAGTATCAGCTGATAACGATTATTTGTGTTTTCACAAATAAAATTGCTGCATTCTGGACTGATATGTATGTATATAAAGTCATGAATATGCTATAATTTCATATTAATTTAACAAGCCACAGCTGCTTGCTCCTTTCCACAAGTTCTTCTTTCTGTTAATGCCAGTTTAAAACCAGAAGCAAAGCGGCCAGTAAAGCAGGAGTTTTCTGCGATAATTTTGTTTACAAGCACTTGAGACTTGTGAGTGAAAAAACATTGCAGGAGTGTATTTAGTATGTGGTTTTGGTGGCATGTCAACAGAAAACAGACTTAAGGTAGTCGTGTGCAGTCGTATGCAGCCGTGTGCACACATTTTACGTACCCACGTTTAGCGGCTAGTTTAACCAAGACATTTTTTAGACTTTATATCACCTTAAATTTTTAAAAATCTATTTTAAAACTTTATAAAACCTGAACTCTGCTGAAACCCTAGACTAGTTTAATAATAGTTGATCGGTTAATTGATTATACAAAAAATCATTATTTGCAGCTGTAACGTAACAAATTCAGATACTTCTAGGGTATACAAGTGCCTTGTTGTAAGGTGGCGATTAAACTGCATTTTGGAATTAAAATAATATTCAATAAAGTATGCATTCATTTTTTGGCTCAAAATTCTCAAGTTATCGTTTTTATTATCTATATTTCATATATATTCTATATCTAAATAGTTCCTCCACTCACATTTGTATTTTAAAAATAATTCAGAATTGTACCACAATAACCAAATCAAATCAAACTGTGGTGGAGTCTGAGATCTCATGATTGACTGAATCATTTTCTAAAGAATCATAATCAGTTTGAATTGTGAGGTCAGGCATTTACATCCCTAGTTTGTTCCTTATATAATAAGAGTCTCTAGGCTACTGACGATCAGGATCAATTGAACTTAGCACCTTTGGCGTCTGATGAGTTCCCACGCTCCACCTTCGCTGGCTGGGCCGAGTTGCTGTTGGGGGATGACGTGGAGGGGCGTTTCTGGTTGAGGAAGACTCCCGGGGCCATGGGCTGACCACTCACAGGCTTGCCTGGTCCAGTGCTGTACTCGTGGTCGGCCGCGTTGCTTTCTGAGTCCAGGTTGGGCTCTGATGAACTGTTGTCCTGAGAGTGTTTAAGAGGCTCCTCCACGGCTATGGGTTTCTTTTTGGTGCTTTTCTTCTTCTTCTTGGTCTTCTGCTGTTCTTCCTGTAACGGGGACAGAGAGGAACACTGACACAATCAATATAAGAGCAACTAAATTGTTTACTGAAAAGCTACACTGAGTAATTACTTTAGTATTTACTTAAGTTATTACACACTTTACAGAAATAAGGCCCAGAGCTCAAAGTCTCACAGCAAATTGTTGTGCACAATTTCTATTTTTTTGCTGTATTTGTTTTGCTGTATCAGTGTTTTCTTTTAAATTAATATGTGTACTTTTAAATTGACCAGGGGTGCCTAAACTTTTGCATTTGTCTGGATAAGCAACAGCTGTTGGTCAATACAGAGATGTTGTGCTAGTTATTCTTAAACAATATAGTAAAAAGAAAACACTGAAGAATGCAATGGCTGTTTTGCTAACACTAGTTGGCAAGCCAGCTAAATGCTTTGTTGGGTTGTAAGTTAAGGTTATAAAAAAATGAAAATAGTTAAATTTAATACTTTATTAAAAATAAATTGAAGGAAAGGTGAAATTACTATGATTTAATTATACTCAGAAAAGTCCTGGTACAAGGAAAAAAGTACTGAAATGAAAGAAGCTGTTATTTTCCACCTCAGACAATCAGTTCTTGCAATGAGATCACATGAATGCACATGAATAGTAAGAGCTGGAAACTATAAGACTATAGTGATATTATATTTTATAAATTATAAAATCACATTTACAAATTTTTAAATAAGAAAAGATTCTAGTAACACTACTTTGATGGTCCACTGAATGGTCACCTTGTCTTTAATTTAGATGTGTATTACGTGCACTTTTATTTTATCTGAAGAATATTTTAATGGATGGTTCTAAAGAAACATTTCAGTAGATGATTTTTGTGTACTTGAAGAACAAAAAATAGCCTTTGTTTTTGCCCTTTGATAGTTCATGTCCCTGGACAATTCATCATATGAATTAAAAAACAAAATTCTTGTTTTCCTGTAATCTTCCATCAAAACGTAATGACCTTTGTCTGCCTCTAAAACGTCTTCTGATTTTTAATTATGTAACTGTGCAATAATATTATGTTTCCCTCTCCCACCAACTAAAACTATCATTGAGCACATCAGAGACCCCACTTACATTTACTCGAAAATGTGACATGAAACAGAAGGAAAATGAGTTACGATTTTCGATTAACGCTTAGGTTTAATGCACATAATGTAAAGGATCTATACTCACTGTATGTCTTTTCTAGAAATCTTCCTAACCAAAGCCCATTTAGGAACCTTTCAGTATAATCATCAGTGTATATGACTAATTTTCTGATACTGGATTGAGTAATTGAGGGAGTGATGAACCTGGTGGGAGAGTTTGGCAGCAGCAGCAGCGAGCCCTGTTTCTATGGATGCAACCCGCGCTCCTTCCCGTGCTGGTCTTTCATGTCGTGGTACAGAGGGCCCGACTCGTGCTGCAAAACAGAACAAACAAGATATCAGAGTCATATTATTAGACATGTGGGCCTCCTGGTCAAGTGACATGTTTTGTTCATTTTCTAAATTACAAAAAGTGCACATACTCTAAAAAAAGACACTTTAATGCACAATTCTGTTTAATTGCTGAATTTAGCACAATTGGGAAAAAAAACATTGGAAACAAAAAATAAAATGTGGCCTGTGCAAACGTTATGGCACATTTTATATTTTGCTTTATTTTTTCCCCAATATGATAACTCAGCAAATTAACAGAGGCTGTTCACCAAAATCTTTAAGTTTAACTTTAATATTTAAGTTTGTTTCCTCTAGAGGATTTGTTAACTTATTTTTACTGAGAAAATTAACAAAATATATCATTTGGACTGGGGATGTTGCGTGTGACTATAAAGTTTGTCAGAAAAGACAAAAAGGTTTTTAGATTCTCATGTAATGGCTTTCCATTCATTCTAAGTTATGAAAGTTTTAGAATGGGTAGGGGTGCAAATTCGCACCAGTGCCTCAATCTAGAGCTAGCAATTCAACTGCAGCAGCTGCAAAAGTATGTGCTTTGGCCAAAATTTAATTTAATGCAATTTAAACAATTTCTCCAGTCATTATTTTTAATGACTATTTTATTGTAAAAACTGCCCACATATTTTACTATTTATTTTTTTTTTATGAAATACAGAGGTAATACTGTAAACTGTAATAAAAGGTTAGGAAATTATTGTAACGATGTTTTTATACTGGTACACGCCTAACCACTGGGAGGTTAAAAACAACGGCAAAACAACAGACCAGCTAAAATGAATGTAGGGCTTTAGGCTTACCTTTTTCATGACAGCAGTTGTTTTACAAAATGTTCTTAGCAGCACACAGAGGAATGTGTTTCAAAATGTTTTATTATACAAAAATAGCCAAGGGAAATCAGGTTTTTGTGTGGCAAAAGTAACAGAGGCTGCAACTTCAGAGGAGTTCAAGAGCAAACACAGCTAACCAGATGCTGATGAGGACTCACTGTCTTCTTACAGGTGTGCCAACATCTATTTTGTCAGTTTGTCAGAGAAATACATTTTCATTGTTTGTGGACGTAGCTAACATCAGCCAGAGTAAGTTAATCAGCCGTGTTATCTCCATCCGCTCAGTCATGTCCTTAACAGCGTGTTTTACTAAAGGCCTATCTAGGGACAAACACTGCAAATTAGCGCATCACTATAAATGTTGTAACATCTGGCATCAGGCAGTTCTTTTGTACTTTTCGTTGTTGTACTCTATCTGTCCAGGGACGGATCATGGTCTTGCATGGACACTAGCATTTTTGGAGGCCCCCCAAACTCTAACCATTACACTAACTAACTAAATAATTACATGAATAAATAACCTGAAAAGTGAGACTAAACAACAGTTAATATATGTGTTTATAAGCAGTGCATTTTTTCAACTTTTTTCTTTTGAGAATAAACAAAATTAGCCTTATTAATAATTAATGTGCAACATTCTATTGTGTCTACATTGTAACTGTTTAAGCTTTAGTGTAAGGTTTTATGTACGTGAAGACATACTTCAATCAACTTTCCTTCTTTTTTTCCTTTGAACCAAAATGAGTTGTATTGCAAAAACAAAAATATTGGTACACAAATAAAATGGGTAAAACATCACATTTGAATGTCAGCAACAGAATCAATGATACTATGAAACCTGAGGGGGCTGAGAACATATTTCTTGTTTTATTTCATTTATTTGAGCATATTCAATGGCTATTCATTTATAAAATGCTTGTATCTGCATTGGACTGCCCCAAGTATTTGAGTCCCCTCTGGTCTGAGGCCCTCCTGAGTCCCCTGTGCACTGGCCCCACTGGCCTAGTCAGTAACCCATCCCTGTATCTGTCCCTATCAAATAAACATCCATCCATCCATCCATCATCTAAACCGCTTATCCTTCTGGGTCGCGGTGGGGTGCTGGAGCCTATCCCAGCTGTCATTGGGCGGAAGGCAGGATATCAAATAAACATTACTTAAATAAATCAATAAATAAATGTAAATAAAGATGTCACAATGTGTTGACTAATTTACTAAAATATTATAACTGAATCGATGCCCGATCAGAGATTTATACCTCTAGTGATAATGTGAGGTGGTATGATATGGCTTATATATCATTAGTGGTTCAGTTACTTGCCGATGTTTATATTCTGCTCTCATGCTGTAGTCCGTACCTGTTGGACTGTATGGAGTGTCGTCTGAGTTTTTCCTTTTCTTCGATCGTGATTTGAAAATGGGATTGTCCTCTTCCGACTCCAGAGAGGGATACACTGGAACAAACGCAAGATTTCGACACACATCAACACAAAGCTGAAGACAATGGAAAAAGCGCAATTTCAAATACCCACATGTATCTACATTCCATACTGCAGCTCTGAGGACTTTCTGATAGAGCAGTAGCTTAGCGTGGGACAGATGCAATGCAGCTGTTTCATACTCTCTTTCTGCTTGTACCTAGTCTCTTTGATCTTCAGCACCAGAGAACATGCAATTTCCAACAATTATCATGACCAAAAAATCCTCTGTTTACAATAGAGAAAAATGCCTGCCTGATAAAACACTCCCCTAGTGTGATCTCGATTGCGAATGTGCGTGCTGGTAATGACTAATTAGGGTATCAGATCAAAAAGCATTTAAAACAACAGTTTAAAGGGCTGGCTAATGGATTATTAACAGGCTACTAATGGTCTTGCTGTTTTTGGAAGGGGTTCACAAGGAGCGCACAGCTGAAAAAGTAGTTCTTTGGAACTAAACTCAAAGCGAGGATTTTGGAGGTCCTTCCATGCGGAATAAACAAAACGCCTGTCACTAGCCCCAAATTGAGAACCTCCCATTTCAAATCTAAAAGCAATTACAATTTTTATTTATTCTCTTTCTCCTTGTTCTAAACAAGTGTTCCTCATTCCCAGCCTTAAGAATCACACAGTGACAGCATTCCCCCAGCACACCTGATTCAGCTCACGAGAGGTTTCTTAATTAGCTGATGAGGTGAATCAGGTATGTTGGAGAGGGGTAAACCTTGGTAGTGGCCCCCATCAGCATAACACTCCATAGCCATTGCATTTTTTTGTGTAGGGGGTCCTTTTTGAAAATAACAGAAAATTAATCCCTTTTCATGGTACCAATAAAAAAATTGTGTTGGAGGAACCTCAGTTGTTGGTGATATATTTTGTGGAAATGTGTGTGATTTACAAAAGCAAGAAGTCCAATTTATCACAGCTGCCTTTGTGGAGAAGTGTGAATTGTTTTCATAACAGGAGGATTCTGACCCCTCCTCTTTCATCCATCATTGCTTGCTAGCAGCTCATCACAGAAAGCCAGCGATGTTCTAGTTAAACAGGGGGAAAATAGAAGAAAATAATTTATTTGGTTATGTTAAAAATATCTATGCAAATTTCCATTCTGCCAATAGGGTACCTGCAGAAAGAGGTTACTCAGACAGGAATGCCATTATGATGCCTGGATAACAGCTTACAATACATTATACAACCATTTTCTGGTCATTGCATAGTACATATGGTACAATATGCATGGTACACTGCCCTGTAAGCCACCTGGCCACTTTAAGTTTTTTTTTTTAAACAATCGCACGATGCACCCACGATGCATAAAACATAACGCACCGTGTACGCAAACAGTACATGGAAAAACTCTCTCTGCCCCTTATGGTTCTTTGCTCACTAGAGTTTGAAGCTGAAGTTACTGGTTGACTCAAAGAAAAAAGTGAGTGAGTAAAACAAAGGCTGAGTTAAAGTGAATTCTTTTCTTTTTTTTCTTTGCTTTGTGATAAACTATTTCTTGCCAATTAATGGCACAACAACCTGGTTCCCTCATCATGCAGCCATGTGTTCTGTACTAGGCCTCAAAATCTTCTTAAATACTACAGCATATTTTTTCATTTATATCACTGATGTTAGATTCACACCAGCCAAATTTCAGTAGGGATTATGTAAGCAATTTTATTACTTATTATTTATTTACTTGCAGCATTTGTGGGCCCCTTCAAAGGGTGGGCCTGTGGTAACCCAAGCCCTGCTGGCTCCGCCTCAGGCCGCCTGGAATTATGAGGCTAACACAGATAATTAGTAATAGAAGCTCATACCTCACAAATTAGTAGCATGCAAACTGCATCCCTAAAATATCACCCATGTACCTCAAACTGTGTTGAGATGTTTAGAAATCTGACATAGACTCACTGTGACATAATTGTATCATTTTTATATACAATATAAAAAACCACACACACTTCCATTGCTTGTTAAGCTCTGCAGCGTCAGGGCTCCCGCATGGCACAACCGCCTAAGTGTTGGCCCTATCATCAGGAGATTGTGTGTTCGATCTCTGGTGATGCTACAGCTGTATGTGGCCAGGAGTCAAGGAGACCACAACTGGCCTCACTTCCTTTTGGGTGGGTAGGATGGGCCCTGTCTCCCTCATCATCCAGCACAGGCGTCTGTTAGCTGATGTTCCGAGTGCGTTCAGCTGCTCAGTGACGTTGTGTTAGCGGCAGTTCGAAAAGATGCAGTGGCTTGCTTCGCAGGTCTGGGAGGAAGCCTGTGCTAGCTTTCGCCCTCCTAGCACTGTAGCTTCAAAACTATAGGAGCAAACTTCAGACATGTCATGTTTAGTGAGACTGACTATGTTTCTGAAAATTGTGTCTGAAAATATCTCACCATAATCTGAGTCTTTGAAGCAGGCATCTAGATGGTCCTGGTCATCATCAAACATGTCTGCGCTGTCCACGCTGCTGCTTTTCTGTGGTTTCTTTGGCGGCCGCTTGGCTGGTCGCTTGCTGTTTCCGGTCGCCGCAGCACCCCCTGCAGGCTTCTTGCTGGCTGGGCCAGTGTGCGAGTTGTTCTTGGCCTGGCTGTTGTTCCAGGCCGGCTGCAGGCAGGTGTCTGAAGACTGCAGGTTGGCCATGGACAGCATGCCCTGGATGGCCTCCTGTGTGCTGGGGGATGCAGGTGGCTGACTGTAAGTCCATCAATAAGAAATAACACAACACACACACATTACTACAAGTGTCAGTGAGAATGAGAAGAGGTTTTTCGAGTTTTAGAGTGAGGGAGAAAAGCAGCCAGTGGGACAGTTAAGGCATCAGGAGATATGAGGACGGATTAGTGCTGGGCGATATTATGTCTTTACTGTATAATGTCTATACCGTGATAATGTTTATAATGATACTGATCACTTATATCAATATATCGCTTATACGAATATATCAGTTACACCAAAGTGTCATCTATACCAAAACATCAATTACACCAATATACTGTCTATACCAATATATCACTTATCCTAAAATATCATACCTACCAACTTATCATTTATACCCATATAACATTTACATAAATATATTGCTTATACCAGTGTTCCACTTTTACTGATATATTGTCTATACCAATATAACAATATATATATCAATATGTTGTCTATTCCTATATGTGATCGATACCAACATTTTGTCTATACCAGAGGTTTTCAAATCCGGAGCTTTAATCCAGTTTCCGGTCATGGATTTTGAAGCCACTGGTAGTTAACTGAACTGTTGATGTGACTGACTGGCTAGTCAGTGTCATACCAACCAATGATTACAAAATCCAGGACTGGAAACTGGACTGGTCTACACATCATCTACACCGAAATAATTTCTATACTGACATATCATATGTACTTCTATACCACTTAATAATATAACAACATATCATCTCAACCGACATGCTGTCTATACTGATGTATCATCTATGCCTATATATGTTCAATACAACACACTGTCTGTACCAACAGATCATCTATACCAATATATCGCTGTTGTCGGAAGAAAACCTCATATCTCCAAAATGATAATTTTACAGGAAAAGGAAAAAACTTGCTTTTAATGTAAGTCAGTGGAAGCAGAATTTTTTCCAAGTAATATTGGGCCATTTCTTTTGGTCCATTCTTCATGAAATTTCCACACAATGTAAAGAGCTACAGCTATTTTCAAATTATGTCAAAAACTGAAAAATGACAAATATGGAGATACAAAGTTTTCTTCCGAAAGCAGCGATATCTTCTATACTGGTATATCTTCTCTGCCAATATACCAGTAAACCTCAGTAATGTCACTCAACCATAGTAATATTGACGGATAATGAGCATAATTCATTATCACATTCAATTCCATACAATGTAGCTGAAGTGCACAAATATTCAGGAACCAAAGCCATGTTCTTCTAACTTTAAGAAAAATCAATCTATTCTTGTAACATTTTACTGTTTTAATTTTAATTTGTATGTATTTGAATGTTATATAGTGTATTCATTGTCAAACACACTCACTGCTAAGATAATATTAGACATCTGTATAGCACTGTATTTTTTTTTTTTTGCCAAAGAAGCAGTTCTAGCAGAGTAAAGCAACTGTTGTTATTACTTAGCAACTAGTGGTGACTGGAATGACACAGGCATAGTGTAAAAACACTGCTGTTAGAATGCAGGTAGAACATGGTTATGAAGTTTTCCAAGCAATCTGACTGTGTGATTGGAATTAAAGCTAGTATGTATACTTCAAATGACAAAAACACTACACAAAACTGCACTACCACCAAACACGCCGCTGTATGTATACTTAAATAAAACTTGTGTACGTCTCAGCCCTGCTAGAAGCCAGCTGCATGCAGTGCACCAATCACAGTCATGGGCAGGTCTCAGAACGAATGATGCGTTGATGAGCTAACAAAGTACTTATGCTACTATCTTAGCTTTTAGTGCTGGCAGCTTTTTCTGATAACCTGATATAGGTGATCATAATATCCTACCTGTAATACTGGTAGCATTTTCTGATAAGGTCATTTAGGCTATTAAAATATCCTACATACAGTTTTATGTAGGGAGCTCTCTATAAATATGCATTACAATAGGACAAGGTAGGACAATCCTTCTCAACACCACCTTAGCTGTTGTATCAAATTTTATCAATGCTGTCCAGCCCTAGCATAGATGGTGTACTCCAGGCAGGCTAAACTGACTCAGAAAAGTTTTCCCACTACAGGCTGTATGTGGCGTTGCTGTTGGGACTGGCCTTTCTGAGCTCAGTGTTGTTTATGTCATGAAAAGAACCCACACTATTACTGCTCTGAAAAAATACAAGCCTCTAAAACATGGTGAAAGGAGAGGAGAATGGGAAAAAGAGCTAGGAATGATGGGATAGGTCAAATAGTTGACAGACGAGTCCAGAAATAGCCAGCCAAAAATGCACAAACACTTCAAGCCAAGGGTGTGTCTGCTCGACAGGCATGAAAGCAAAAATATGCCACAGTTTGGATTTGAGACAGACTGCATAATCAAAAGGCAACAGCAAAATTCCCAACATTTCACATCTTGTCTGTATTCACTACAGGTTTGCAGCAGTGTAGACAGTCTCACAAATGTACCTGCTCATTTAATTTAACAACATACATTATTAATTCACTGTTTTTTTGGTCAGATACATTAACTGTATCCAGTGTTTCCAGAAGTATCCAGACACCCCATCTAATTAGTCAATTCAGCTACTTTAAGGTGACTCAGGCATTCAGTTGCGCACATACATCTTCCACAGAAAAGCACTGCCAATAAAATGAGGTACTCTGGAGCAGCTGCACATGAGCCTAAGGTCACCATGTGTAATGCCAAATGTCCACTAGAGGGGTATAAAGCCCCCAACATTGGGCTGTGAAGCAGTGGAACTGTGTTCTCTGACGTGATGGAGCTCTATCCAAAACCTCTGGGATGAGCTGGAATGGAGTTTATGATCCAGAACTAATCATCCAACATCAGGGTCTGACCTCACTAATGCTTTTGTGGCTGAATACAATTAAATCCTCACAGCAATGTTCCAACATCTAGTGTAAAGCCTTCCCGGTAGAGTAGAGGCTGTTACTGCCACAAAAGGGTGGCCACCTCTCCATTAATAAAGTTGATTTCAGTAGAAATACTGAATGAGTTGTCACAAAAATATTAAATATTTTAATTTTCAAATATTCTAGAAGATTTATTTATCATTATTGTTACTACTATCAATATTATTACAAAACTGAATAACAGCTACTACTGTATTTTTGTTATTTTTACTATTATTAGTAGTATTATTAAGTATTAAGCTGCTTTTTTTGTATGCTGCTAGATTCTAGTTTATATCTTACTTTTTATTTATGCTTTCTAATGAAATATGTTTGAAACACAACACAAAATATCACTGCTGAACAATTAATGTCATATTAAGTAGCATAAAATGCTAATCCGTGTAATCATCCCCAGTCTGGCAACACAGAAAAGGCTGCTGGTGCTGTTTAAACGTGTCAGGTGCAAAAGAACAGAGGTAGTGTTGTCTTTTTAACCAGCAACTTAAAAAACCTAAACTATTTTTTGTTAAACCCTTTTTGGTACACTGAAAAAACATGCATTACATAACATTACATAATTCAAATGTGTGCACTGGTTCCACATGAATGAAACATACTAGATCAATTACGGTCATTCGTTTTACCTCCTGTTGACTAGAATTGTGTCGGAATTGATGTACACATCTGAATCAAGTAAATTCAAAGTAACACATTTTTCAGTATGAATGGGGGAGTGACCAATAGTTCAGATTCTATATGATCAGATGAAATAAACTGGAAATACATTCTTGCAGATAAATTCAACTGAGAGCGTGCAAGATAGCAATCAATAACAACTAACAAGGACTACACCAGGCAATTAAAATACTATTGCTTGTAAATAGAGCTCTATAACAGGTAGTGAGCCTGGACAGCAGTACTCACTGTTGCCGAGATATCACCAACCAACAACTGAGTACGACTGACTAGAAAAGACTAACATGAAAAAAGTGAACTATAAACTTCTGTTTTGCGTGATATGCTGGCAGATTATCTTCCTCTGTTTAGATGCACTATTATGGCGGAGTACAAGTGACTCACTAGCATTTAGCTAGAATTTTTTTGTTTCATGTTCACAAACAGCGGATAAAAGTCTTAGTCATTCAAATTTTTCGTTTTCAAATATGTTGATGTTACCAAATTTGATCAAATATTTGTTCTTCCATTTACAGAGGAATTTCATACATTTTTCTGCCTAATTAATGGTTAAATAAACAAAGTCCCTCAGAGGGGTTAGATGTTAAATGCTCCGTTCTCGAGAAACCTATCGGTTGATAGGAACCAGATGTCTGAAGAGTGTAAAGCCTTTAAAAGCAACACTGCACCAAGTTACTACATGAAATGGTTATGAATATGCTTCCTGATGCCTGAGGCATTATTTTACAACAGATTTGAGACAAGGTTTTGCCCTAAAACATACTCTTAAATGCCATTAATGGTGGAAGGGTATATGTAGTTGTAAGGCAAAAGTACTCTTTTTTTCCCTATTTACCACTACTCTACCATAATCAACATTACATATAAAAACTCATGTAGGTTGACTGGTCATTTTGGAGGGCTAAATAAAATAGCTATATTTGTGCTGTATACATTGTGATCCCTGGTTCCATTCACCACCATTGTAAAAATATCTGAGCTAGTACGTTTCTCTACTATGCACCATTTCACATCAAACCAATCTGAATGACTGATTCATCTCAATGATTTACTTATGCAGAAATGTAGAAATATTGGCAGATTAGGCCTTTAAACTTGTGATTTTTTATTCAATCAGACAGCCAACCCCCCACCCCACCCTTAAACAGAAGGCAGCTTAGTCTATTATTAACTAGAAAGGGGGAAGTCTACAGAAAAAGCACAGTATACTTCTTTTCTTTTACAAACAAAATAAAAATCTACCAGCTTTGTGGTATCATGGCTCTGCTTTTAGGCCTGTTGGCTCAGCATTAAAGGGTTAATCGCTGTGCAGGATATAGGAATAGTGGTTCCAGCTTGTGGAAAGCAGCACGAAAATACGGATTTACCCTGTCCAGATTACCACCTATTAAGTCATTAACCAGTGAGCTGGAACAATGAGGAAAGTGCTTGTTTAATGTGGTTATAATTGACTGGAGTCATTTCCTCCCCACAGTCCGCAGTCATATGTCAGGTCTAAACGCATGAAAAAATAATTTGAGAAATTAACATATTTTAACCATGTTTTCTTTCTCCTCCCCCCCCATACCTTTGTGCTAATTTGCAGCTTTCAGCAGAGTGGAAATAGACCATCAAAAACTGCACAAAGCAGCAAACAGTGAAATGAAGAGGAATGGCCTCGAGCGTTGACTGCGTTTTGATAAATTAATAGTGGAGGAGTATCAAATAAATAGTGCTTATATACGTAAACTGCTGACAAAGTGGTTAAACTATTATTTTAACCATTAGTAGACTAGCTGTATATTGAGTACATGCCTGGATATGAATTATTTTCAATGCGTTTACTCACAAGTAGCAGCCAAGTTAAGAAATTGAAACGTAATATTGTGTTTTCACTCTCAGAAGTCCAGGTACACACTCCATCATGCGAAACACACCTCCACCATGGCTGCCTGCCAAAGACTGATTTACTTTAACGTGTTATGTTAGCAGATATAATGTGCTGTACAGTAGGTCACAGATGTGAATTAGACACGTCTCCAGTCATAACACCAAGTTTCACCAATATTTAAAACAACCAAATATAATGTTTTATAATAACGTACAATAACTTTTCAAATGCTGCAAGAAAGCTTTTCTACATAAATAAAAATAATATAAAATGTGAAAGGCAAATAAATGAAAAAATTAAAGATAAAATTGTTTTGATGTAATATACACTATGATTCAAAAGTTTGGAATCACTGTAATATTAATAATTTGTGTAATTTTATGTACAATAAGATATATAATTTCTAAAAATGCAGATTAAAATCTTGTAAACTAGATGCCAAAATGTATTTTTTAGATTTTATTTTGAACAATCAAAGAACTTATTTAAATAGTTTTATTATATACTCTGAACTCGGCTGTTAAATTTAGGGGACTTACGGGAAGAGGTGCCCCCAGGGTAAAATGCCCCCCACCCCTCCTATTTTATCTCCTGAGCAAAATCTAATCTTGACACATTTATCAAATGTGCTTTGGTCTAATAAATTCAGAAATTTTACTTCACTGCATTCTGGGGATTTGTTCTTTTTGGGGTCTTCTGATGGACTGTTTCATCATTGGATACGATTAATCTACACATTTATATTAAGTTGGTTTTATATAATTATATTAAGCTAAGTTCGTTTCTGTGCTATAAATACTAAACTGCTGTTTCAGTTTATCCATTAAATGTGAGCAATTTTATTCATCGACATCCTGTACACGCTAAACTCATGCACAGATATAGTTTAGCTTTACAGTAAATGGCCATTGTGTTTATTTTAGCCTCATTCTTAATGTTTTACAGCTTTCACTGTCATTTTTTTAAAACCATCCAGAACTCCATTTATCATAGCCATGCACTTTAAAATATATAATTTAGCTTAATTGAAACTTTGAAATTGTAGGAATATCATAATGAGTTAATTTAAAAAAATGTCTTTCATATTTTGAAAACACTGATTCTAAACTTTTGAACAGTAGCATGTTTTATTCATAATGTACACATCTAAATTAAATAAATGCAATGCATTACTTTTCATTGTAGTTGATGTATCAGGACAGTTCTTCTCCTCCATTTTTTATGCTTATCTGTCAGTTTTTTAATTACATTATTTTAAAGTTTTTTTCGATCATGTTAAAATTTGCTTAGACTAAACAGTGAAGCTGGTTTCTGCCTTGCGTCAGACTTCACCACTCATTGGGTCGCTTGGTCCTATTTCTGTGAAATTCTGGGTAAAAACTGCAGCATGTACAATTTATTCTCTGTGGTCAATACCATCTAAACTAAACCAGCTACTTTCAGATGCAATCATTGACAACAGAATGGGATGCTCTAGAGAAGCTGCACGTGAGCCTAAGGTCACCATGCTCAATGCCAAGTGTCGGCTAGATGGGGATAAAACCCTCCAGCATTAGGATGTGGAGCAGTGAAACTGAGTTCACTGGAGTGATGGAGCTCCATCCAATCCCTTTGGGATGAGTTGGAGTGGTGTTTGTGATCCAGAACTAATAATCCAATGTCAGTACCTGACCTCACTAATGCTCTTGGATGAAGGCTATCAAGTCCTCACTTTCAACAGCTACAAAACAAGCCATTATCAGAGTGTTTGCAAAAAGCACCAATAACAAAGAGATTTTAAGAGGTAAGTAGTGCACAAATGAAAATGGTTTTCACACCATGGAGTTCTATGGTATATAAGCTCAATACACACACAGCAGGAAACGAATCAGTGCCACCACCTGGCCAGATCAAAAAAAAAATGCACATTCGGCCTACACTGTAGACCAGTGGTCACCAGCCCTCCTCCCAGGGATCTACTTTCCTGCTTGTTTAGTAACAACCTGCATCTAACAAGCTGTCTCAACCCTGACGTAACTCTTAAACACCTGATCCAGATATTCAGAGAACTGGGAAGAGGTCAGTTAGCTGGAGAAGGCAGTGTTGGCAGATTGTGCTTTGCAAGAAGACAGATTACCAGGATCGTTGGTTACCACTGTTGTAGACTATGAGTCTTTTTTAATTTGTATTTTATTTGGAATATGAATGATAACACTGTCTATCGGGATATTTTAAGAAGACTATCGGCGATTTTGTTAAAAAAGACTATTGGCGAATTGTCCAACCCTACCACTGACCACAAGGCATTTTCAGGACGTTCAGACGACTAGGCACCTTGCGTCTTGCTAATTTCAGCAAATAATTCTTGCTAAATTCAGCAAATAAATAGAAATTGTGCACGGAAACTTGCAGGACAATTATATATTTAAGTTTGTTATTTTTACTTTTTACTTCATTTTTTACTAAATCAACAAAACATGAAATTTGATGAGGGGTGTTCAAACGTCTGCAAATGACTGAATAAGAATATACATAACAATACGTCTTTTGATTGTGGTAATCTTTGTGTCAAGTGTTGTTTGAAAACAGCCAAAGTACATTTTCTTCCATGTTGGCTGAGTGACTAGAGAGAAGGAATCTTTGATATTGATTGGTCAACATCCTTGATACTGACGGGCGTACTGACTAGAGCGCTTTTATGTGGGATACACAGCATAGGCTAGAGGAGTGCTTTTCATTTGAGGTACACGTTGCTCCACAGACAACAAAGAGAAAAGCGCACTTGAAAGTGTTTGACAAGGCGTCGTGTGAACGACCCCTAAAATTATATTGATACTGATGAGTTAGTAATGATGTGCTTTTGTTGATTCGCTAAACATCCAGCTGAAACCAAAGATCACACACAGCTTTAAAGACTACTTCAGTGTTACTGCAGACATGGAGAGCAGCAGTTCAAGCATGGTGTGATCTGTGTACCTGTTGTTGCTGTAGTCAATGCCGCCCACTTGCTTGCTGGCCTGAAGGAGGTCCAGGATTCCTGCTGCGCTGCCCCCTTTCTTCTTGGACACCTTGGAATTGCGGCCTTTGACCTCTGTCTTGGCATCTGTGTCTATGTGGAGTGATTCTTCGTCTGAGGAGTCAGCACTCTAAATGAAAAGACACATGAAATAGTGAGTATATAACCTTCACTTAAACATTTGAAGCTACTGTGTAAGCCAAATTCAACAAGTAAACTGAGACATAAAGTTATTTAGTGATTTTATAACTTTGGTTTTGGTCTCGTTGTAGAGACGGGGGGGATCGCTGTGTCAGTAAAGTATCTTTGAGACGGGACGTGTGAAACATAGCGCGAAAGCTCTGTTTCGCAACGACTGAGAACCGGCGTGCAGACTGCAGGTCACATAGCAGCGATGTGCTATTCGCATTTATAAGCACTGCAGTTGGTTTCCTGGTACATTAAATCTGCAACGAGAGACTGTCACACTAAAAAGTGGCAAAGCTGAAGTCGCTTCTCTTTTGAATTTTCCTGTTCCACCTTAAATGGTGCTGCATTTACATCCGGCGCCTCAGTTAGAATTTAAGGTGGAACGGGTAAATTCGAACAAGAAGCTGGAGAATAAGAAGCGACTTCAGCCTCGTAAAACAGCCGAACGTTGAGAGACATTTAACTGATCTACTTTTGAGGAAAAGTTTTCTGGCGGAGATGGGAGGAAAGCGGCTATAGCTAAAGCTTAAAGCAGAGCAAAGTAAATCAGCGTTTTCGTTTATAGTGTTTAGCCTATACTAGCACATTATCACATACTGGACAGTAAATGTTGCGGCTCCCAAGGTGGTTTGATTTTTGTTGAAAGGACAAAATGTTAACATTTGGGTTGTGACTCCTGACCTAACCTGGCTTTAACGCAGAGGGAGCCGGTCGGATTTCTCGCTTATCCAGTGGTGTTTTTGTTATGTGCCGCCACAGACTGTCCGGGCGCTGCACTTCCGCACTTCCAAGTTCCGCCTTTTGTGTTCCGTCAACATTACGTTATAAATTAAATATTTAGAAAATCGATTTTTGACATTTGTGAATCGATTCAGAATCGTTCACGTCCGCATCGCGATGCATCTAAGAATCTATTTTTTCCTGCACCCCTATTAGGCACTATGTAAGACCTCTCTGTTATATGTTTTAGCATTAACTGATTTAATGATAATTGTAATTAACTGAGTCAATGAGTAACTCAACATCTTTTGGCAACAAACTGTTTCACCAATCATTTGGAAATCTGTGACTGTAAACACGTGCATTTGTGAGCTGGTGTAGGTGATTCTTGCATGGTGTGGGTAATGGCTGTTTCTTCACTTTAAATGACTCACACAAAAGTCACTTGCATTCTAATAGGTTCCCCTTGAGGAGAAACTGCAGATGGCTAAACGTGCGCAAGTGAGGGAGTTCCACATGCTTTATAAATTATAAAAAAAGTTATGATAGTGCAGTGGCTCACTGGAGTTCAGCTACGGATGCCCGTGGGAAACCATGTATGATCATCAAGTATTCTTTTTCATTTTTCAATTTTACAACTGAGGTGCTTAAACTGTACAGAAAATGCTGTGAATCTTCCTCAGACTGTGTGTTGTACACTGGAAAACCCACAGCAGAGAGTTAGGATTTTTCCATACTGTGGTCTAATGACTTATTCCATAACAATCCCTTGTTTTAACAGAAAATGCGAATAAAATATTACCAGTACATATTATTTGATATTATTTCACAAACTTATTAATTTATAAATTTAATTAGTCCTCTCTAGTACTGTATAGGCCATTCTACCAAACTGGTTCAAAGTCAGTTGAAAATACATTTCAGACTTAACTGACTGGGAGTTTAGACTAAAATCACTTTGCTTTGAATAACCCTACACCTTAACTATGTTCATATTATTAAAATAAATGACTGTTTCAGTAGTGACTGTTTCAGCTGTGACAATTTCAGCTAATTCTGAGCATAGCTCAAAAATACTAGCCAGTACATGACTACCAAACACAGCCCTGAACAGTTGTACACACATAAAATCATAAAAGTTTTGCACTGAAACACAAAAAAGTTTACACAACTGCATAAAATATGTGTTTCAGCAATGACAGCTCTTAATGTTACATGCTGATTTTTAGACTTGGTCTTCAGACTTCAGGGATCTAACGTGGCCATATTGCAGTCTCACTTCCTGCTCTAAAATGCAGGGATGTGGCTAAAATAAGGCTCCATCTATGGACTAGACTAAAACGTTTTGTGTTTCAGTAGTGACATGAAAATACAGGACAACTTTTTTTAATAAAGTATTTTAATTTAAAAAATAAACTCATGATAAACCTAATTTGTTCAAAGTTGTTTTTTAAAACAACATTGAAAAAAATGCAAAAAAATGCAAAAATGAATTTGTATTATTTTAAGTATAAATAGGGATTAAGGTTTGGGACAGATATTTCCCAATACAAAGCACTCTATCAATGATGATTTGCATATATTTAGCTTATTACTATCTCAATTAGTGTGTTGGGTTTAAACAGATCATAACCTGACTCAAGTAAATATCTAGGGTCTGAATACTTAATTTTTTTAAAATATTTTTTACTGTGGGACCACACATCGTTTGAATGGTCCAGATCAATTCTTTTTCCCAACAAGGCGATTATTACCTGGCATTATCGCTGGCTTACTTGTCAGTCACTGCCGATTTCTGATTACGTCTCACAGGCCTAGTGTGAACACGTACATGAAAGTAGTTCACCTGTGTTGATTCATGAGCATGCCTTGAAAAAGCCCTGTGACAAGAAAGGTCACTATCTGACCCTCTACGACCCTGCACTGTGCGTGCCTTTCTGTCTCTTGTGGTTGACTTCCTCACTCCCGGCCGCTTCACACCACAACTATTTCCTTCATCAGTCCTGTGGTGGTGCTTGGCTCGGCCCTGTGGCTTTCTCTCTTTGATTCGCTCTGTGTGTTAGTCTAAGTCAGAACATTAAGTGGAATTACACCAGCCCAGCAGTGGGACACATGTGATCTCTACTGGAGTGTTTTTTAAACGCACCCAGAAGGAATCTATTAGTTACTTCACAAAATAGTAGATTGTGATTAAGTCTCAATTCCTTAGAATTTATAATTAATCAGTGACTTTAAGTTCATGCCATTCTTTAGTTACAGAAATGGGTTGTAGATGTTGGTCTTTCATTAGTACTTAGTTGGAAGTTCCCAAAAAGCTGTAAGTGTGAGGAAACTTCCTGCTTACCTTAATTACTGCAGGCTGCGTTTTTGGCTTTTTCGTTGGCTGGATGGGCTCTCTGATGTTTGATAAAACTGAAAAAAAGAGATTCAGAATTTTAGAAGACATTTTAAAAAATGACTATTGATAAGATAAAACCACTATGAAATGAAAACTGAATAGGGAAGTTATAACTGTGGGCTAAAAGCTTTAAAAATGATTTCCTGAATAATTACCATTCCACTACTACTGAACAGTATTTCAATACTTTATTAACATGTGATTGTTCCATATGCTGTAAGACTCTGTATTTGCCCCATAGCTAAAGCTACATAAGGATGGGACAATATGAAAATGTTATAAATAGCATGTTTTTCAATATTATCACGTCATTGTTGAAAATGTAAAAAAAAATGAAAATGAAAAGAAAAAATTAAATGAAAGTTTTAAAAATACAATCATTGGAATCAAGTTAGATATTATTAGGACGACTGAAAAAGTTTGAGCGCCCCAAAATAACTTTTGTTAATTTTCTAAGTGATGATAATTACATATTTTCTTCAGAGAACACACTTAAATATGGCTTTTTCTGCTCATTTCAAAGCACAATTATTGTTTACTTGCTAAATTCAACATATTGGCACATTTGCAAAATTAATGGCACATTTCATATTTTAGGTTTTATTTTTTGTACAATATGTTGAAACTCAGCAAATACATAGAATTTTGCCCTAACATTAGCAGAAAAATGTTAAGTTTAAGTTTCGTCTCTGTAGAGGATGTGCTAACAAATTTTCACTTAAGAAAATACCAAATTATGTGATTTGACCAGGGTGTTCCAACTTTTGTGTACAAATATATAACCATACACATATACTGGAATAATTCAAATTTAACATTTTACATCATAGGACATCATTAAATCTGGTGACCATCATATTCCTAAAGCTATTTAAACAACAGAACCCTCTAGGTCATGTGTTATCATGAATATCATTATAGCTGTGGCAGTAGGTCATTCACCATAACACCTTGAGTATTTTATTACTTTTATGCCAATTTTGAAAAATAAAGGAAAAAGTAATACCTCAAAATTTACTTTTTTTAATATACTGACAATTTCTTTCCACCAAAATTAGTAGCACACTGTTGTCCAAACACTGTTGTTACTTAGCACTGATACAGAAAAAACTGTTGTTATCAGATAAACAATGCAGGCAAAACACTTTTCAACCCATCAGATTGTGAGGTTGTGACTAACTGTTGTACAAATTGACATTACTCACAGGAAAAGTCCCTCTTGACAGGAGTTTTTTTCCGCCTGATTGGAAACTCGTCGATTTTTAGCTCCCCCTCGTCTGAAACGTACTCATACTCGTCTCGTACAGGCTTGGGTTTGTCCTCTTTTACATTTTGTAAGGAGCCAAACACGCTGGAGTTGGTCTGAGTCTTCAGCGTCTTCGCCCTGAGGAAACAGCGAGCCGATGGAGCCGTGATGGATCAGGCAATCAGAAACAATCAAAAACTTTGAAAAGTTAAACACGAGAGATTAAGTCAACAACTGCCAGATGATTTCGTGTCTAAAATATGGCTGTGTATCGTAATGTCAAGTTTCTGATAAATGTAGGATTTATTATCTTCATTTTCACCCAATTTAGGGTTTAGCCTATCACATGACAGTACCAGTCTGGGAATGTGAAGGCAACACATATTTCTTTGCCCGCCTGGACGAAAACATTAAGCACCCGAGTGTGCTATGTAACCAAACAGACATCTGACCGCTCTTCTGTTCTTAAGGAATCAAGGCCATGGTCAGCACACGGCACAGCAAGGACTTAGAACTTAAAACACCAAAGTTTTTTTCAGCTCTGTTTGTCTCATCTGTTGATTTTTTATTGTTTTGTTTGATGAGAGTATTTGCACTTATTATACAATAAAATGCATCTGATGTTGATTTATATTCCTATATATAATTTTCTTACTGAATAGAGGTGGTTTGTGAAACATATAAAATAATGAATTTGTATTTTGTTTTCTCCATGCTTTTTAAGATTCTTTACCTCTTAATGTGATATCAGGACTGATTCATGATATTAAAAAAACATTAGATTAACTCAACTCAAGTGTTTATTTCTGCTGTTTAATCTACTCTTCTCCATTAAAAACATGACCTCTCCATGCTGTTGTGGCATTTGTTTCAGGGATAAAGAAAGTGATCTATCAAAGCTGAAAATTCGAAGATTTTTGTTTGTGTTACAAACTTTTTTCTGCATAAATCAATCAATGAGATGTAAACAGTCATTCAGAGTGCTTTGGTGTGAAATGGTGCATTAAAGAGAAACTTACAGATTCTGATTTTCTTTACAGTGGTGGTGATAGGAACCAGGGGTTGCGATGTCTACAACACAAATATAGCCATTTTATTTACTATTCAAAATGACAAGTGAACCTACATGTGTTTTATGAGTTTTATATGTAATGGTGATGATGGTAAAATGGTTGTAGATCTGAAAAAAATATGTTTTCTTTGGGTAACATTTTACTTTATAACGCCCTGCCATGACTATGAGGTTTAGGCCAAAATCTTCATAAAACATCAAGCAGTGTATTCATAACCATTTAATGTAACAACTTAGAGGCATTAAATATCTGATATCTGATAATAAAATATTAGATATCTGGTTCCTATCACCACCACAAGTTTCTCTAGAACGGAGCATTTCACATTAAACAACGCTGAATGACTTTGTTTACATCTTAATCATTTAATTATGTAGATATGCTGGAATCCCCCTTTATAATGAAGAAAACAAATGAATAGGAATATACTTAACATTTTAGTCACCTTTTATTGCTACTCTGATTAAAGTAATCCAATAAGTGTTTCAATAGTGATGTGAATTGTGTTCTGAATGTGTGCACACTCGCTCAGAACTAAAGGCAGCATAGAGCTTCTTTTATATAGAATCTTAAATGCTCTACATTTTACTATGACCAGCATGAACATGCATTTGGCCGACCTACTCTGGGGGCAGACTGACAAGAGTTAAATCACAGAAACATCTTTATTGCATTGATCTTATAGGGTTAAAGCACAGCAGTAGAGTAAATCCATGCACTGCTAAACAGACAAATTCATGAATGTAACAGAACAGAAAATAAGAAGAATTTTAGAAATTCAGAATTATTTATGCCTTGAGCCCGTGGCTTATTTAGTTACTAACCTTAAGGCTTTTATTCAGAACCAACTCTGAAACTACTAATTTAAGCTAGTTTCTTAGTAGTTACAAGAGTTTAAAGAATTAATAAAGGTGTAAACCCACCAGACTGTGTATTTGAGAATGCAGTAAAATACATACCCCAGCAATTTCTTGTTTGACATTGAAAACGAAAATTTATTGTCTTTATGTCCCAGCGGCGTCTTTTCAAATTTGTGCTCCTCTTCCATTTTCAGTAATGAATCTGGTTTGCTGTTCTGCAAGAGAATAACATAACATATTCCTCGATCACTGTTAATCATTCCGGATAACAGCATAAATGAGATCATACATTTCCTTGAAGAAGTTTTTTAATGTTTAATGTTTTTTTCTACTTCATAATTCTGTTTTGGTTCAGTAAAAAAGATTGAAGAGAGATGATGTGAGATGACTGAAGTGAGATTAGCAGTATCATCTGCAGTCAAAAGAAAAGAATTGCAGTATGTTACGTCATATGAAAATACTTACAGCATCGCATTGCTTAGCACAAATCTTTAAAAAACTGCAAAAAAATAACATCATGGCAAAAGTATTAGGATTCCCAGTCTCTCACTAATAGCACTGTCAATTGCAGGTTGTTTCCATGAATCAATCAAGTTAGAAGACTGTACAAAAAAAATGCCGGCTGGGGCTTTAAGATGCACAAATGTAATTATATTTCTCGTGCAGTCTGTTTTCTTTTAATGTGTAATGTTAGTCCACATCCTGAATCAGCCCTGATATGTTGTCTGGATTTAGAATATTCTGTGGCAGCGCAAACTCTTTTTTTTCTTACCCTTTGGCATGATTTTTAAACTGATAAAGCCGTGCTGCAGCCTTGCATGCATGCAAAGTTTTCCTTTGCTGCTCTAGGTAAAACTCAGTCAGTTTAGCCTGGTTGATTTACAGCAGCGAGTCACACTGAAGCAAGTTGAAGTTCCAAAGCATCGGCATCTTTTTTCAGTTCCATGCACCCAAGCTAAACTTAACGTAAAGTAAAATAAGTAGAAGGGAAGAGCTGTGGAGTAAAGCTAGCATTACAGTGTGCTGCAGAGAGATCTAACAGGCAGCTTTTTAACAAACTTCTCTCTCATAAAACAGAAAAAACTGATTATGTTGGCCCCCTTATTAATGGAATGAGAACCCTAATTTCCCAACTTTTTTACAAGCTGCTTAATGTTAATTTATTCCTAATAAATGGAAGCAGCCACAATTGCACACGACATCACAGGTGTAGTAGGTGATACGGAAGATATTTAACATCATTTTCACAAAGATGTTTTCACAATAGATATGTATCACAATCTTTAGTTTTTGAACAAACTGGAAAAAACTAAATGCCCCTCATGAACTTGGCTTGTAACTCACTCGCTCATTTTTAGCTGGCTGAAAATTCTCCACAAGGGGGTGTCATCAGCAGTCACTTTTTAATTTTTAAGAGTATTCCTCACATCAATGACACTTGTGTTCTTGATTTTATTCAATGTTTAAAAATGTATTATTTTACAAAAATCATCCAGCATTTGGTAAAAATATATAAATAAAATAAGATAAAGGCATAAAAGGCTGCAATCTATTTCTGTTACTTGTTACTACACAGTTTACACAGTTACTCTTCACTGGTTATAGTTGTGTACCAGCTCTCTATAACTGGTGTAAATCTGTCTTTATTATGATACAAGCAGTTGTTTAGTGTTCTAGAAATACTGACTTAACTTGTATTCAGAAAATTGATCATATTCTCAATAGCATATCGTTTTATTGCTCATCCTTAGTCGATAGTGATCGAACAGGAAAGACTGAAGACTCGGGGCCTGACGACCTTGGTGAACATTTTAGCCAAAATATTCCCTCCATCTGTAAGTGCTTGGGGAGCTGCTTGGACCTGGCCGCTTGGAGCGACTACAAACGTATCAAGGCTGCTTGGCATTGACTTTTCCACGAAACCAAAGCCCTCTAATGTCTTCCGTTCACCAGAACTAGGCCTTTTTCTACAAAAGCCGTCCCAACAATAACGACACAACATGCTTATTTTTGCGGCAGAAACGGAGGCATATGTAAATACTTACCGAGCGTGCCGGGGATATGACATAGTGTAAGAGAGCATTAGGTAAACTCTGAGCCTGGGTGAAGGGCTCTGCTCTTGCTGCCTTTGATGAGCTCTGAACAGAAAGAATGACTGAGCCACAGAGTTATTTCTGCTGATTGCTTTGATCTGAGACGTGTAAATCACTTTTGGACGATTCTCGAAGCCACCCTCCCTCCCTTTCACTGCAACTTCTCAACTTGTCACGGGGCTTAATATCATTTGCATGGGCTTTCAAAGCTGGCTCTTGCCTGGTTTCTACATTAAAGGATCATCACCATGTTTCCTTTGTGGGGAACACCAGGATCAGATGCATTCTCCTTGCAGGCTTACCTTGTATTTCCATTTTGCTTCCGTCTTGTTTTTGTTGAGTTCTCGGATTTCGAACTTCTCAACGTCGTTCTGTTTGTTCATCTCTTTCTCCATGAAGCTCATCATGGTCTTCGGAGGCTGTAAAATCAGCACCAGGAAATGACTAGTGCTTAGTAGTTTGTCTGAACAAAATTCGGTAGTTTTGTGGCTTTGATTATACTCGTCATGGTCAAAATATCACCTCATGATCAAAAAAAGAAAACCGTCTACCTAGAAAACTAACTTTATAGTTGGATTGGAGACATGTAAAACGTCTTGATTTAAAATTAAAATTAATTTAAAATTTGTTAATTTGTAACTTCAAAAGGCTTTAAAGGTTTGCATGTCAAAATTTGGTCATATTGGTTCTATTCATCATTAATTTTTTTTTTTCAAATTATTTTTCAAGTGGAAAGATAGATTTACAAGGTTTTTTTATGACAGCAACAATATATTATTTGCATTATGTATACTAAGAATACATTATGTATACTAAGTTAAGGTGATTTCTGATGCATTCGGTTTAAGCAACAGAACACTTGAGGTCATCTGCTGTGGTGGTTAACATCTTGGCTGCTCTTCCCAATTCACAATACCTCAAGTGGTCTATTGCTTTTATACAACAGCTTTGCAAAGCAAAGAAGAAAAAGTAAAGAAAAAAGGGTTTTTCTTTCTGGCATTCCTTCCACCAAAAAAAGATCAACACAGAAACATCCTAACACTGAAATCTTATCTGTTTAGTCACCATAACAACTTCAGTTAGGATTGGAATTAGAAAGGTAGCTATTACAGAATAACAGTTTGTAAGTTCATTATCTTATAACTCTAGATAACATCTTTACAGTATTAGAGAAGCGTCTTAACTGGATAAAATTCCCTAAATACTGGCCTAAATTTGTGATAATGCCAGTGGAGGTTGTTAGTGGTCCTAACCTGTTCTAAACTTCCACTTCTACCGTTAGTCTTTCTGTGGAACATAGAATGTTATCGGTTCTAGGCAAGTGTGACATGCAGCATAATAAGTTCACTATAACTAGCAAAATGGTATTAAATTTACAGTCGTGTGCAAAAGTTTGAACAACCCCAGTCAAATAATGTTTTTTGAGTGAAAGTAAGTAAATATTCTCTATAGAAAATATTAGAAAAAAATTAGAAAATAAAATATAAAATGTGCCATAACTTTTGTGCAGGCCACATTTTTATTTATTTATATATTTTTTTTATTACGTTTTATTTTTTCCTATATTTTAAATTTGTACAGTATTTGTGCATTAAAATGCGCAGACGTGGAGGAAGTGTTAACCTATTTTCACTTATTAAATCAACATTTAACTAGGGGCACCATAAGACTGTATTCACATTGCAAAACAACAGTGTGGATAGAACGGTTTTCAATGCTTTTCAGGCTGTTTGTTAAGAACTAACTGTTATATAATCTCTGTGATTGTACAGTCAGACAAGAATCGTTCCAAATCCACTCACCTTTGCTTTTTTAGGCTGATCCATCTTGGAAAGGATGTCCTTGGCATGGGACTCCAAAGCTGCCAGGCTGGAAGGCTTTTTCTCAGGCAATCCTCCTTCTTTCACTTTCTTCGCTTTCTTCTTCCCACCTTCCTTCACTTTGGGCACCTTTGGGGGCTTGGGTGCCTTGGGCATTTTGGGCGGTTTCGGTGGTTTTGGGGGTTTTGGAGCTTTCTTCCTGGCCAGTTTATCTCGCGGTGGAGTGGACATTAGCGTGGGAGACACAGGCTCTTCCGGCTCTGGTGGGGCTGAGGGGGGCTCCTCTGCTGGGGGCTTAGAGTTGCTAGGCTCACTCTTTATGGCTTTAGTTGCATTCTGGAAGACAAGAGACACAACTCATTAAAGGAATATATTGGTGCTTTTTTCAGATCAGGGAAAAAATTATATACATTTGATTTTTTGCCAAACAATTGCTTTACAAATCTGAACAAATGCTGTAAAGACATGTAGGTACTACCTCTGCAATCCGAATCTCTTTGGCAAGGTCTTTAATGAGCTGTGTTGGCTTCATATTCTCAGGAAGCTCATCTTCGTGCTCTAGAAGGGCCTGAAGAAGAAATGTTTATTAACAAACCAATTCTAACACATTTGCAGTTCAGAAAGACTCTAGATCAACCTTAAAGGCCTCATATCTTATATTTGTCTTGTATTTTATTTTGAGGTCCACTTACACTGTTTGTGTGGTTTTACAGACCAAAGCAGTTTTAATAAATTTTTGCATGACCATTTTCCAACTTCACTTTATCCCTTAAAATTAAATAGGATGTTTTTGTTTCTGAGCCTTTAAGATTTATGAATGTAAATGACCTCTGTTGTAATTGGCAGCCCTGTTTTGTGCCTCATTTGTGCCTGAAATACTTCTTGTAACTGCAATAGAAATGGGCCGTGCTAAGCTGCTGTAAGTCGAACAGGCGGATATATGTAAATGCTCTGATTTCTGTGACATCACAAATACAATTAATTAAAAACAAGCTGTTTACGAAGTTCAGTTTCCATATATGGGGTATGTGGACTGGGTAGGGAACTGGTAACATTGTCTACATATGAAATCAAATCCTTTTATTTAAACAAAAGCAAGGAAAATTAGTTTTCTATGATATGGCCCCTTCAAGAACACAAAAAATTCTAGGACTTCAGTGTATACCTACCTGTTTTTTAGTCCATGATCTGAAGGCTCCGTTGATAATTTTGGCACCATGTACCAGATAAGGGGCTGGTTGTTTATTTGCCTTATGTAAACCTGCAAAATATGTATTAAAACATTAGTATTGCTCTGACATTCAACGTTACTGGACTGGAGAGTTTAACTGCCAAAAAGAACATATCTCTACAAAATGGACCATAAACACAGTATTCTTTAACATTTTGATTTTCTAGCAAATTATTAAATAAGCACAATGCAACACCGAGGCTATCAAAAATTAGGAAAAGCTAAAAGATGTTGGCTTTAGAAAAGCCAGTAATGCCCAAACATTACAATACAATCTTTCTGAAGACCAAAAACAGACATTTTTCACACCATTTTAACAAATTACACAACATAACAAAATTCCACAATTCCTGGACATCTGATATTTTGGGATTACTATAAGAGTACTACACATTATTGTTATTTTAGGAGTACTACACACATTGAAGCCCTGCCACTCACTGGCCATTTTATCAGAAACACCTTCCATAAGGGTGCACTTTGCAGGTATGCAATTAAAAGTTGTTATTGCACCAGTCAGAACTATTGTTGTTTTTGTACGAGGCATGTCGTCTCAATAAATGCCTTTTCAGCTCCATTTTATTTACATACAGTCAGGTGTAAAAGTTTGAATATGCCCACCCCCAAATTACATGTGAAAATAAGTGACACATCATCTACAGAAAAAAAAACACTTAAAAAAGTCATTTTTTCTGTTAATTTCAGTGCACAATTTCTATTTATGTAAAAAACAGAATACAACATATTGGGAAAAAATAAAACATAAAATACAAAATGTAACATAACTTTAGCACAGACTACATTTTATGTTTTAGTTTTGTTTCCAACATGTTAAATTTAACAAATAAACAGTAATTGTGCATTAAAATATGCAGAAGTGTGTTCTCTGTAGAGGATGTGTTGTAACTTATCTTCATTTAGAAAATCAACAAAAACATGTACTTTAACCAAAGACGCCCAAACTTTACAGCAGTGTTTTTGCCTCAAACCAACAGTTAAAAACACACCTAATACATAATCTGTTTTTTTGCCATGTAAACATAAGATGACAGCTAACAACTGTGAAAAATTGTTACAATAATTGCCATCAGCTCAAATAATTGCAATCAGGCATTTATGTAATAACTGTGACAGGCCTAAAATATTTAGTCACGAGCGTCTCTGTGGTCAGAAACTGACCACTTGTTTAAAGGGCTAGAGGACAGCTTACACAAACTGTGCATCACTACGCTACGGTCTCTAACTGTGTTTAAAACCCAAACATCGTCACTCTGACCAGAACTGCTTTAACAAATACACTTAAAAACCTCATTAAAAACATTAAATATGGATGATTTCTTTGCCTCTGCTAAATGATCCTGGAACCTTTCCCAGCAACTTTTCCTTAAATTGTTAGCTATGGTGCCCGGCTCTGTGGCCCCTCTGTCAGAAACACTCAGAGCATGACACTCTGCTGAAAGGTGAAGGGGGCTTTATATCAGAAAGTGCACTGGCAACCATAGCCATTACCGCTAAATAACAATGGCCATTCATACATCAAACTGATTACTGTGATCCGCAGGGGCCTGAAACAGTTACACGGCTTTTCCTAACGCATGCTTCAACACTGATTACATTGGACTGGATACATGGCCACTACAGGAAATACACTGCACACTGCATTTAAATTAATAACATGAACACAAAGTGAAAGCTGAAAGGGTGGATGGAGAGAAGAGGTCCAAGGCTGGCAGGGGGCCAATGGGGCCTTTTGGGAAAAAAGCCAACCCCCCCCCATTTACCTGCAGTCACACGAGGATCTCAAAAAGATGACCCTGAAAACAGACCCCCCCAGTGCGCCCAGAGAACAAGTGTGGTCCTCAACCGCCTGGTGCGTGCGCATTCCATACGCAATCTGGACGAATTAAGGGAACGTGAGCGGGGGGAGGAAAAAAGAAATGGTGGAAATATAAACAGAGCGCGCAGGGCCAGCTGAGAGGAGTTTAAACACCGGGCTGTAATGGAGCAAGTGATTCTGCCTTTTGAAGCTAATCATCTGTGAACTCTGCGATGCACCGATCTAATGACTGCAATAATATTCCTGCTGAACGAACTCTACCCATCTGCTCAGCAGGCCTCTGCCAGAAACAGGCGAAAGCGAAGGCCCTTAGACCCAATAAAAGAGGCCTTTTAAGAGTCCTATAACTATAACTTATACTGAGATTGGGCTGTGTGGGATAGGACCAATATAGCACTTAGGAGGATTGGCACCCACCGTGGGGCGTCATTTAGAATATGAAGTTAACAGCTTTACCGAAAATCCTCTTCACACAAACTTGGAGGAAAAGGGCAGCAAACACAGGATTCAACAGTGACTGCTACGTGTTTTTGGGAATTATTTATAGTCTCACTGGCTACTGATGAAGAGGTGAACTACGCCACCTAGTGGTATTTGTAACAGGCTGGGCTTATGGATGTTAGTGATTAACCGATTAATCATAACTGACAAACAGTTAAATGTTCAATCAATACCTAATAAGCAACAAACGACTGAAATTTGAATCGGCAGGTTTTTCATTCAACTTGAATGTTTTTGAATTGTACGCATGAGGGCACAAGAGCGCATCTTGTTCTGGTAGGCCTGCTTAGCAAAGCACATGGCCAAGAGTCGACCACTATACCCAGACATGCTGAAGTTGAAGAATTGACTCTTTTGGAATCTACGTCGGAATCACTAACCCTGTTGTGTGGGATTACTTTTTACAGGCCACATGGTAAGATGCACACTATGTAACATCTGCAAGCACTAATTGAGCAAAGACAGCTCTTGTCCATGTCCTTGTCCATGTTCTTGAGGTGAAAGTGCGATGAACAGCGGTGTGTGGAAATTACACAACTGATGTATAAAATGAAAGACAATGATGCTGCCCACCACTGCATACTGGCCAACAGAATATGTAGTGGATAGCTGGTTAACGGTTAATCATTGTCTAATTCCGATCAGTTATCAAATGAAAAAATCTCCAAAAATTCACACTCCTAGACAGGCTATTCGGCAGACGATGCTGAATTGTTTGCTGAATAATAGCAGTTAATGTATTCCTACCTTGTACAAGCAGTTCAACAGACATTTTATCAGCCATCAGCACAGAAAGACTTTGCAGGTTTACATTTAAGGGTTGACATGTCCATTGCCTGCTGTCCCTGGCAACTAAAAATGCAGAGCCTTTGGCCCAACACCATTAATAACAAGACCACTAATTTTGCAATATAAACAAAACTATCTGCTCTTTAATGGCCCAAACTGGCATTAAAAAAAATATTTTCAGATAACACACATCAACTAAAGCGGTACATCCAAAGCATGAGGCAACTGGCTGTTCAGCACAATGAGTCATGTATAATTATACTAAAACATGTTGGTACAGGTGTAGCAGCAGCATTCAAACAAAGATGAGTGAATTATTTCAATCATTAAACTGCACATACAGATCAGCCGAAATACAAACAATAAACTGGCTGGCTGCAAATTGCAATCCTGACCAATTCCAAGTGCATCCCTCACTATAAACCCGATTCTAGAACTCTGAGCATTTCTTTGCAGCCTGGTGCTATTAGGGGTGGGAATCTCTAGGCACCTCACGATTCGATTCGATTATGATTCAGAGGGCTGCGATGCGATTATAAAACGATTATCGATGCATCTTGATGCATCTTTTTTCTATAAAGAATTTCTTTTTTTTCTCACTGTGTGACAACTGGGAACTTTTAAAGCAAAGTATTTGTAATGATCCACAATGAATTTAATTCCAGTATCTTTTATTACTAAATCAAATGGAAGTGATGTGGCAAGTGAACTGGAAGGCTCTCAGTCACTGCTCTTGTTTGGAGCACATGAGACGCAGGCTGCCACTCATTTGCGATAAAATGTGCATCATCATCATCATCATCATTAACCGCTTAGTCCAGATAGGGTCGTGGTAGCAGTTGGGAGAGCAGAGAATCCCAGACGACCCTGTCCCCCACAACTTCCTCCAGCTCATTCCCAGGGACCCCAAGCTGCTCCCAGGCCAACTTGGAGATATAATCCCTCCAGCGAGTCCTAGGACGACCCCGGGGTCTTGTCCCAGTAGGCCGTGCCTGGTACACTCCCACCGGGAGGCATCCAGGGGGCATCCGGATCAGATGCCCGAACCACCTCAACTGGCTCCTCTCAATGCGGAGGAGTAGCAGCTCTACTCTGAGCTCCTCCCATATGGCCGAGCTCATCACTCTATCAAGTAGAGTGTAGCCCACCACCCTGCGAAGAAAGCTCATTTCCGCCACTTGTATTCGCGATCTCATTCTTTCGGTCATTACCCACAGCTCATGACCATAGGTGGTCTCCAGCTTTTCGTTCGAATTGTCCCGTTCCACCTTAAATGGTGCAGCGGTTACATTCTGGCATCCCAGGCACCATTTAAGGTGGAACGGGAAGATTCAAACGAGAAACTGGAGAACAAGAAACTGACTTCAGCCTTGTAAAAAGTAGAACATTGAGAGACATTTTACAAGAAACTGTTCTACTTTTGTGGAAAATTTTCCCGCTGGTGATGCAAGAAAAGCGGCTACAGCTGAGCTAAAGCTTAAAGCAGAGCAAAGTAAGTCTGCGTTTTTGTTTGTATTATATTTTTACCCTACACTAGGAGATTAGCATGTACTGAGACACAAGTACAGCCAAGATGGTAAAATGGACTCAAAATGTTGTGGTTTCCAAGGTGGTTTGATTTGTGTTGAAAAGACAAGATGAGTCTTACTAACATTTGGGTTGCCGACCCCTGCACTAGCTTTTAATGTAGTGTGCACGCCACAGACTGTCCGGGCGCTGCACTTCTGCACTTTGCAAAGTTCTGCCCTTTGCATTCCATCAGAATCGTCCACATCCGCATCGTGATGCATCTAAGAATCGATTCCCCCCCACCCCTAATAGCCAGGTTATTACAATATGGCTTTTATGCTGCTGGCAGTGCTGACAATAAAAAGGTATTGGACAACAATGAGTGCATATACATGCACTCAATAATCCAATCATAATCGGATTTCTGCAGTTATCTGATTATTCAAATGGTCATGGAAACACCATACTCCGATCTAGAAATCCGATTAAAAAAACCTGATAAAGAGAGCTGGATTTTAGCTCAGTTATCAGATTTCTCAGTGCATGTAAACTCATACTCTGATTTTTATCGGATTTCTCAGTCTGCGCATGCACGAGAACAGACGGTGGATGTTGTGAGATGGCAGCAAAACACTTTTGGAGAGGCGCTGAAACCAAACACTAAATAAAGGATTTAAATATTCTTTATTTTCTAGATAATGTATGTTCAAATTTTCAGGTAAAGTGGTGTGATGTTTAAAAAAAAAAAGCCACAGCATGAGTTTCACCTTATGTTTACATCATTTCTTCTTCTGTGAGTTTATTGAGTTTATTTACTATATCATATTTATGATAAGAACCATATTCAACAAATTAAGTTAACGTAATACATTTTTATTGTGCAAAATAGTTAAAAACAACTAAACAGTATATAGATAAACCTATGGTGCGTATGTGTAAGCACGCAGCAGCTTCTCTGGCTTGGCAAATGGTGTTAAATGTTGTTTCACAGCTAAATTTCTCAGGTCATTTGTCTCATACGCGCCTCCCATTAACTCATGCTTACATCTAAGAGTCTGACTCTGCTAGAGTTTAGTAAATATTACCACATTACATGTCGTTGTCTGATACAGCTGACCCATGACACTGCAGACACATTGTCAGGTTCCATTTACTGGCACACATGCATGCGTCACTCAGTAGCACATGTGCAGGTCAGAAATTGCTCTGTGGTTTTGGTATTGGCAATACTGATACTGTGGTTAAGTGCCAGTATCGGTGCAGATACCATATCGTTATCGGTGCAACCCTACTTGCAGCTAGCATTAGCTTTGTAGCTCTAGTGTAAAACTAAAAAAGCAAACCTGGGACACCAAGTTTAGTTGAAAAATACAGTAAATTCGATTTTTTTGCCAAAACCTAGCATTTTAAAATCAAAGCAAAGCATCAAAATTAACATGACTGAGCGCAATACTCACTTCTAAATCTCTCCAGGTAGTGCCTCCCGGTGTACCAGCAGGCCGTCTCGAAGTTGGGGAACGGAGTGAGGCTGGCGACTTTCAGCCTTTTTTCCACTTCATATGCCCTGAGTGGAGGGAAGCAAATGGGCCTTCACAATGTGGATTAATGAAAAGTGCACTCAGAGCGAAAGCCACCAGTGCACAGATGTGAGAAGCACTTGAGCTTGCCAGAGCAGATGCCCTTGACTTTGACTTTTTTATTTCATCGTTACAGGGGCTGCAGCTGAGAATAGAACGGGGTTTGATGCCTGAATGCTTCGGAGATAAAATCAGTCATTAGTCTGTATCGCATTGCAAGTTGCATGCTGAAGCAGTAAGACCCATAAAATCTGGAGAAATGTTTTCCATCATGACACATCACCCAACCTCGCCAGGGGATTATCTTCACCATGCGAATACTCTCGACTATGGGTGTAAACCTTTGACCTTACAACGATCTGATATGATTACGATTCTTTAGGAAAATGCAACTTGACATCTCAGATTTCACCACAGTTCAATATGATTTGATTATTTGGGTTTATTTCAGAATTATGCTAAAAAAAATAAGTTGTATGCAAATGTTTGAGTGCCCCTGGTCAAATTACATGTTTTGTTGATTTTCAAAGTAAAAATAAGTACACAATCTCTACAGAGTACACACTTCTGCACATTTTGATGCACAATTACTGTTTATTTGCTAAATTTAACATACATAAAATGACGTGTAAACGTTCAGCACATTTTACATTTCATGCGTTCATTTGTTTTTACTTAGAAAAATTAACAAAACATGTAATTTGACTGGGGACTTTTGCATATGATTGTACACTGAATACCCAAATGTGACTTACGGAATTCAGGCAATAAAAACAAGGGGCCTCATTCACCAACTGTTCCTAAGAAGAAAATTCCTTTTAAAACCCACTTACGCAGTTTTCACAAAGATTCTGACACTCACCAGTGTTTTCTTACTTGGAACTTGCTCTTAGGTAAGAACAGAATCTACACACAGCCAAGAGCATAAAGATGTGAACAGATCTGTGCTTTAAAAACACATCATGAACCTGGTGTAGCCTTTTTCTAAGGACCTTTCTCAAGAACAAATTTAAAAAAAAACTTACTCTTTTACTATTGGTGAAAGAGGCCCAACACCCAGAGCTTTCTTAAAATTAGTTTTTGAAAATACACAAAAATGTTATCTCGAGATCCTGTTATCCTGGCCAAAAAAGAATGTACACTATACTGAATATTATTCTTATCTATCATGATTTGATTACAGAATTTCAAAACTGGTGCATCTTCAGATCACTGTTGAATATTACATTTTACTCAAGTACTGCACTGAAAAGAAAAACCAAACACTAAGAGAGCTCTAAAGCATTAAAGCACACTGACCTCATCTGCATCTCAACACTCATGTTGTGGACGAAGTGGCCAGAGAAGGCCAGGCAGTCCACGGGTGTCAGCACTGCATTAATCCAACCTGCAAATAACAGAAAGCATGAGCATCTTGGCAGTACTGCAGTACTGTAAGACATAGTTGAAACGACAGTTTTATTATTGTTGTTGCTTTTCCTATTACACATTTTTTATCTGTCCACCTCTACAGTTACCTTTGTAGTCCACTGCTGTACATTCCGTCAGCACCCATCTATTATTATCAGTATTAGTAGTAGTAGTGCTATATTGTCTGACTGCATGAATAATCCAATTCAATACTACAATGTAATGAAAAAACATCACTGATAATTGTTGCAGTAAAATGCTAATCCTGTCCAATCTGGCATCCCAGAATAGGATGCTGGCTCTGTTTGAACAGCACTGAGCAGAGGAGGAAAGCAGTGGAAACAGCGTTTTTTTAAATTAAATATGAAAACTTTTAGGTAAACTCTTGTCAGTGATCGGAGGAGTGATCAAGGTTTTAAGCTACCCAAAACTGCTTTCCACCAGAGCACTCGCCAAGACAGTATTAATAATTTTACTACAGCTCTGTACAGCTAGGCAACACACACATTTATTCTTTAAAATAAATAAAACTGAGAGCACGCCAGCTAGACAGCAATCAGAGGAATAAATAATCAATGTTTGGTTGATGTGCATTGATCATTTCACTCTGAACGATGGGGGTTTTAGTCTTACAGATGTAAAAGGTTATTGCTTTATGAATTCTCTGTATTCCTGACATGCAGCCTGGACTGCTCACCTGACGGGATGAAGAGCGTTTGCCCTTGCTTCAGCGTGCACTTATAGCATTTGTCCACCTGGTCGGCGAAGAACATTTCGGAGTGATTGGAGGAGGATCTCCAGCGCTCATACAGAGACAGGTTGGCTGAGGTGGGTTTGATCAGGAAAAAAATCTTCTCCCCCTAAAAACACCAGCACATTGTCACCAACATCATACTACGCAGTGTAAACACAAGTTATTACTTGGACTGTAGCGGAGTTTGTACTGATAGACCTACGTGCTGCTGTACTGTTATTCAACCCAGAGCTTTACTGTTTACTGTTTACATTATACACAGACAACCAAAGTCAATGACACCTGAGTGTGAGAGATGCAAGTAGATACTTCAGCACAGGAGTTAGAACTGTTAGTCCCTTATCACAACAGAAATAAAATGCAATTTCCACTTGTTTCAGAGGCTCTTCAGATAAACAATGAATATAACATTGATGGAATATGTTTTGATGGAAATATATAGTTTTACAAACTGGATGTTTGTAGGTGAGCAAGCAACATTTAGAAAGGTGTTTTTATTGTTGTTAAATTATATTTGTGCTGTGCTGGTAGTGCTGTTTTTATCTCTGTATGTCCATCTTTGTGGAGAGGGGTGTATTGTTTTCACAGCAGGGGGTTCTCACCCCTCATTACTCAATAGCAGCTCAAAACAGAGTCACAACATTTCACGAGAGCCAATAGTGTCCCAGGTAACCGGATAGCAGAGTTACTGGGAACAATATTTTATTTTATTTGATTATTTTATAAAATATGGCCATCAGGAGGCCTGCAGAAAGAGGCTAAAGTGATGCATTAGTGAACCAAATTTACACAATTTTGCCTCTACTCCAATTGTAGCCTGATCAACCAGGATATGTTTAGTGTCTTAAGTTTGCTTCTTTAGTTTTAGTTTTGGAGCTACAAGGCTAATGTAGTTAAAAAGTAATTCAAGCTCAACAATTAACATCGTGCAAACAGCATGCCTAAATTTTTAAACACTTGCACATGGAGCCAACTCATCTCAAACAGACTTGCTTAAGTTACACTGGATGACATACTGTTATTCACATTTTCATTTACACATTTTGTCAGACACTTTTATGCACTATGACTTACAATTAGCATGAGGGGTCTTGCCTAGATGGGGAATTAAACCCCAGAGCAGTGTGGTACCCACTATCTGTCTATAAAAGTGGATAAAATTGAGGCATGTGAGCAATGATTTTAGCACATGGTTTGCACAGTGCTAACTGGGGGGCTATAAGCTTCCATTAGCTTCATAGGTCCAGTGCAAAAATAGAAAAGCCACAAATATTTGAAATGGCCAACTACATTTGTGGTTAGGAAAAAAAAAATCTGAATTAGGATTTTGAGATTCCATACAAGGAAAATGCAATGTATGAAAATTCCCATCGTTTTTGCTATTCACTGACTTGGAGAAAGAAACGGGGATTTCTTGGGACAGTGATGGAAACCTTAATGCTGGTCTTGGTCACAAAATCTCAACCCAAATGACCTGTTATGGGAGATTTTGGAGTGACCACTCAGAACAGCCCTTTCCTTCACCATAAGAAAAACAATGAATGGTGGAATTTAGTGTTTCATCCCTCCAGTAGAGCTCTGCAGAGTTTCTGCCAAAGCCCACTGACGTTCTTCTGGCAGCCTGTGGTGGCCCGGCGCTCTATTAAAATACTTCATGTTGGTGTTTCCTTTCCATGTTTTCCTTCAGTTTGGGAGTTACCTCCACTGTAACTGGAGGCTATACAAGGCGTCTTACATGTCTGGGTGTTCTGGGTGTCAAAAACGCAGTCTTACACTCTTTTGCTGGCCGTTTCTTAATTTTTTTTTTTTTGGATAATGATTTCCGAATTACTTTCACCCCAACAGCCCAGAGAATAAAAGTTGCTGCTGTTGCTGTAGGTGTTAAAAGTACATGGAAAGTTTCTGGTGGCCTGTTTGACTACACATTACAGCATTAGATTTGTGGAAGAAATGAGTGACGGGCCTTTCATTCATGTGTAAATAAAAATATCTTGCAGAGGAATCAATGAATCACTAAATGAGTCATGACCAAAAGTTTTCAAACTAAAAACAGCTTACTAATTTTCTTACTCTGTCAGAGAATGTGTTTTAAATCACAGCAAAACAAGTAGTGGTCAGTGGGGCTAAAGCTGACCAAAAGTGTAAGCTGTGGTAATGACTGCTGAACACACAGACATAACATAGCGGCAAAGCACTGTCTGTTCTGGTTCACGTGTAAATGTGGTTGAGGTTTGGGCAAAAACAACATGGCTGTTAAAGTGATAGTTCAGCAATAAAACCTCATTTAAACAACTGTCTCCTTGAACATAAATGCAGCTTTTCAGCAAAGACATGTTTGGTATCTGAAATTTGCTACTGTTTTTTTTGCACTACGAGGCTAAAGTAGCGAAGAACAAATCAAAGCTTATATTCCACCAATTAGTATTGTGCAAACGGCTCACCCAGATCTTCACAGCTTTACCTCAAACTGTGTTCTGTTGTCAAGTAATCTCAAATAGACTTGATAACTAGAACTTTATTGAACTATCACTATCGCTAAGGGCAACTGCACAGAAAAACATCTCCATAGCAGGAGGTGGCCACTGTCTGCATTTTAAATCAAAGAAAGAAAGCTGGACGGTCTAGGCTGCCAGCTTGGCAGACAGCTATGGGATAATAGCTTCTGCACTACAGTTAGTCTTTAAAATGTATGAAAAATGAAAAATGGAACCATCTGTTGTAAACATGCCGACTCATATGCTACAACAGGCTGCAGTAGTCTCTAGAGCCAGACTTTCCAGTTTTAAGACCAGGAAAACACTTTTCTTATGATGCATCTTAAAGGTCGGAGGAACATTTGAAAAATTACAAACACTTTAACCTCATCACATCTATGTTACACAACTGTCCACTTGTGGCAGAAGGAGAGGAGGCGACAGTGTGGAGTGGATTATTTAAATGGAACGCACTCGGTTATCCTCAGCAAGCTAATTGGCTAGCCATGCAAACTTTGCAATGCAAAACATTTTTAAGAGGTTTGAGCCTAACATACATAACGTACATACATAAAGTATATGTTATTTGAATGTCCTACAATCTTGAAATGTCTGTGTTTAAGCTAAACCTGGCACAAAAGAGTAAAATCACACCTTTGTCAGCTAACCTAACATAGAAAACCCCATAAAGGCACTAATGCAAATTAGCATTACTGTCATGGTGGATAATAAAGCTCCACAGAAGTGAACCTTTACACATTGAGTGTAAAGTGAAATGAAATCTGTGGTTGGTGCATGTTCATAATATTATCATGACAAAAAATAAAAAAGTCCATTAAATGATCATGTACCATATGTTTTATTACCATGGGCACCTTCAGACCTCTCGTGTGTCACTAGGCTGAGCAGGCAATCTGAAAATTCTCTCTCATGGCCAACCACTTATGCTGTCTTAACATGGTCAATTAGCAAAAAAAGCTCTGCAAAGGACAGAGTAGCATCAACGGGCCCTAAAACTCACCAGATCAAAAAGCGTCTTTTGAAATAAATGGAATATCATCATACTGACTGTTTAATCAGTTCAATCAGCTGTAACATGTATAAGCTGTTTTTAAATATTACCTTTTTTGACCACAACTAAACAAAATTCATCATTCAGTAAACAGTGCTAAACTGATCACATAACACAAAATCCTGAGGCTCTACATATTGAATATTCTAAAAGTTGAAATATTCATCAATGCTGACTTTTAATTAACACAAGCAAAAAAAAATAAAAAAATAAAATGTGTATCCAGTTATACTTTTAAAAATGAAGGTGCCTTCGGAGCGACTTCATTAAGAACATATCATTTTTGTAAATGTGTAAATGTGGCTGAAGAATCTAGGTTCTCTACCAATTAAAGGTTTTTCCCAGAAGCATACATACCTAGCAAGCATCCTTTCGGAACCTTTATTTTTAAGAGAAAAGGCAGTAAAAAAAAATCCTTTCATAAATTCACCTTTAAGACATGGTACCACACTGAGGCTCCGCCATTCTCGATGTGGAAGTCAGTGTAGCTGTCCTTCACACAGATCAGACAGTATTTGGTTACTTTGGGCTTCCCGAGCAGAGCATCGTCTGGCCAGTAATTCTCCACCCAGGATGATCTCCTCACGATCAGTGGACTCTCCACAATACTGGACATTCTGGACAGTTACAAAAAAAATATTTGTTATTTTTATTATTCTATACCATTTAAATGTCTGTTTCAATTTGATTTCTGTATGTTTTTATTACTTACATTCATGTGCAAGTATTAGAGTTTTAATAGATGTCAAGAAATCTGTGTTGTTTTCTCTATTTATTCATGAAAAGAGAACCTTTTAACTTTTTCATCTATGCACTTGCAGTACTACTGGCCAGCTATACACCACATTAAAGTCCGTTGTCATTTTATCCTATTTAAAAGTCTGTTTCAAATGACTTTCAATATATTTTACATTTTCAATAAAAGCGTATTCATAGATTCTTCTTTTTTTACTTACTCAGTTCATCACATTCAACCATCTGTTTCAACTGACATTCAGTATATTTTTCAGTAGATGTTACATTCATATGTAAGTGTAAGAGTTATCAGTTTATGTCTAGGATTTTTTTCATCTGTTTATTCAAGTAAAGAGAACTTTTTAATTACGCACTCTTCACAATACTTAACATTCTAGACACTTGCACAAAAAACAATAAAATCAATCTGATAATTTTATCCCATTTAAATTTTAACAGATTTTCAGTTTACTGATTTTTTTTAACACAATTACAGTCGTTTGCAAAAGTTTGAAAATCTGTGGTCAAATTGCATATATTTATATATGCATATATATATATTTTTTTGATTTTGTAAGTGAAAATAAGTGAACTCATTCTCTTCAGAGAACACACTTAACCACACAAGTTTACTACACAATGTCTATTTATTTGCTGAGTTTAAAAGAACAACCCATAAAATATAATATGTGCCATTACTCATGCACAGGCCATATTGTATGTTTTATTTTTTCCAATATGTTAAACTGAGCAAATTACACTAATGGTGCATTAAAGTGTGCACACAGAGAGGATGTGTAGAGACCATATTTTCACTTAGAAAATTAACAAAACATGTAATGTGAGTAGGGTGCCTAAATTTTTGCACACAAATGTGTATTGATTTTCATATGCATAGATTTTCAGGTGGTTTTCAGTTTTATTTCTTTCATTATTTCCTTTTTTTGATATTTTGATGGTTTGCATCACTACAAAAATGTACCAACAGTTCTCCCATAGACTGTATTAAGATAGAGGGACAGTGAACGTCAGAAAAATGTGGATCCAGCGCTGCTCACCTTGTGTCGGAAAACTCCAGATTGATCACGTTTAATACTTTCTTTCTGTTTGTGCTGTAATAATAATCCACAAATTCCTTTAGCTTCATTTTGCTGTCAGTCTGTTTGGTGACATCGACAACATCCACAAGAACATCAGGCCCTGGAAAAAAGGGAATAATATTGTGGAAAAGTGAACTCACTTATTATTATGGTCAATAATGACTCATAGCTGATAAAGAAGAATTTCAATGCTTAACTTTTGGTATGCAAAGGCGCCCTCTAGCGAAAACACATCAGGGCTGTTTCATTTAGGATATGATGTCAGTGCAAGATATGTTAAAAATACATACTACAATAAATGGCATTTAATAAAGACAGGAAGGAATTTCTTATTGTTCTTTCTTATTGTTTTTATTGTTCAGCTCTTTTTGTTACCAGAAAAGTAAGCACTTTCAGTTCTGTAAGCACTGTTTTGACACATTGTGCTAATAATAAAAATGATAATGTGTACTAAAACCCTCTAGTCAACATTGCATGTTTGGGAAAAACTGGCAACAGAGTGAATTTCTTTTTGCTAGTTTATTAGTGCTGTTGTGTGTGAATGCCATTAAAAAGCAAGTATCTTATACTAATAGTTGTTAAGGCATGTCTAAAAGTTTGTAGACACCTGCTCACTCAACACATCTCCTGAAATCAATGGTATTAGTAAGACATTTTTGCCCTATTTGCTGCAGGAACAGCCTATAGTCTTCTGGGAAAGTGTTACACTAGATGTTGGAACATTGTTGTGAGGATCTGATTGCATTCACAATAGCAGTAGTGAGGTCAGTTACTGGTGTTGGATGATTAGCTGTGGATCACAAACGCCACTCCAACTCATCTCAAAGGTATTAGATGGAGCTCCATCACTCCAGAGAATGCAGTTCCACTGCTCCACAGCCCAAAGCTATGGGCTTTTATGCTCCTCCAGTAGATGCTTGGCATTAGGCATGGTGACCTTAGGCTAATGTGCGACTGCTCCAGGGCGTCCACGCTATGTGCGCACAACTTAATACCTGTCAGCAATGGGTGCACCTTAAAGCTGCACTGTGTAAGAAGTAGCAAGTGCTGCTGTGAGTCACCTTGTAAAGCCTAAAAGTAATAATTTAACAATCAGAGGTGTCGGGTCAGATTTTGCAGGGGTTTTTTGGAGCATGTCATATGTCTTTACATAATACCTTCACAGGCACAAGCTCAAAAAGAAGGTCCAGCTCAATGTTTAGGTATCAAATGCAAAATTATGCTGATTTAGATAAGTTGACAACAGTAGATAACCCACTTAAATCCTCAAAAGAAACGTCCTTCACCAAGTTATTTTTGACTACTTTTTCAATGTCCTCACAATCATTAAATTTATCCGCTCAGGGAAGGGTTCCAAAGCACAACCAACATTCCAAAATTTTGGATACATATCTTACATAGTGCAGCTTTAAAATAGCTAAATTTGCTAATTATAAGGGCTGTCTGGATGGGCACTTAAGTTACTTCACTTTCGTTTAGCTGATTAGTGCTTAACCGTTAGCATTTTGGTTATGTGTTTTTTGTGCCACTTTATGTTGTACTGCTGTTAAACGCTTGCATGATGATTAAAGTGCATGATGACACTGTGATGTATGTGATCACTGACATGTTAACTGTGTTCTTACCAACATAGTTTTCAACATCACTGACGTAGAATGTGGGTGCAGGCATGGTCATCCCCAACCCCTCCTTCTTCTGGATCAGAATAGGTTCATTAAAGCCGTTCTCCTCCAGATAGTCCACAGTCAGTTGACACCCACTAAGCTTGACCACCACATCCTCTGAGCTGCAAGGGACAAGATCACAGTTGGCTTCTGGGAGATTTTAACCCATTAAGCTCTAAGAACCTGTTATCGTGTCCACACAGTTCTTCATTTGCATACTACAGAACTGAAACATTAGTTTCATCGTAGTTACTGAATAGTAAGTCTTAAAAGAGTAGTCCAGGGATTTTATTCCAACCAGGAACAACAATCAAGAGCAACAATTATCAGGAACATTATTTTCAGCACGTTTCCCTGTATTTTACCTGAAAAGAACGTAAAACCTGATAGATCAAAACTAATAATAGTTAATGTGCAGTATTCCTTTAAGATTAATAAGAGTATAACAAACCCAGAGTTTAAGAGGAATGAGCTGAAGTCGATGTGTAGTGTCACTATTTTTTGGGGTCTCTACAAGGATGATTGGAGAGCGCCATCTACTGACACACTGGGGAACTTAGAGACTGGGAATATCTCAAAAGCTTAAATAAAAATACATCTGAAGTACATATACATACAAATACATATAAAGTACTGTTTGGACTGAAGTGATGGTGGTAAATTTTATTGATTATTAGGGTTGCACAATATATCATTTGTTATATTACAATACTGGCCTTAACATTACTTATATCACAGAAGGCTTCAATATGCAAATGATCCCTCTAACCACCGTGTTGTTTACAGTTCCAGATGAGTTTTGATGCGTCAAGGAAGTCACATCATTCAACAAACTAATAATTTTGGTCAAAATTATGCTGGTCCATCTTTAATCATGTTATATCATAAACTGACCAACGCATTTTTAATATATTGCGAGGCGCATCATGATTTTAACACATCAATATAATTTCTGTCCATACTGCGCATCCCCAATAATTATGGATTAAAGGTTAGTGACTTTATATGTGATTGTAAAAGTCATTTTTAGTGTTTGTTTTTTAAAAGAGACTTAAGGTTAAAGCTGCCATGTTCTACATTTTTCTTGTATTTTTTTCCCCGGAGGCCCACTTTTTTAACATTTGCATGGGTTTATGTACCAAAAAAAGTTCAACAGTAATAGTTCATGAATCCTAGTTCATTTTTACATGATCATTTTCCACCCTCTCTTTACACCTTAGAAGTAAACATGCTGGTTTTGTTACTGTGCCTTTCAGTCTGAGATATGTAAATCATCTCTGTTCCGATTTACTGCCTTGTATTGTGACTAATTAAAAAAAGTTTGGCCTGAAACATTCCTTATATCTTTAAAATGAATGGGTGGAGCTAAACTGTTCTAGGCTGAATAGGTGGATAGACATGCACTGGTTTCTTTGACATCACAAAAACAATGAATTCAAAACGGGTTCTTTTTGCCACTTAACTTCTATACAAGGGCCGTATGGACTGGGGAGTGAACTGAACGTTTTGAAGCGTTTTTCTGCACTCGGATTAAAAATAGCATTTGGTATTCCAAGATAAACTTACATGAGAAACCTGTTCATGCATTTGTTACAAGTAGAATTGATTACTGTAATGCTCTTTCTGATGGGCTGCCTAAGAAAACAATACATCCAACTACAACGCAGCAGCATGAATTCTAGCAAAAACAAAAAAAGAGAGCTCATATAACCCCTGTTTTGAAAGAACTGCACTGGCTACCAGTATCTATTAGGATAGTTTTTAAAGTTCTGCTACTAGTGTTTAATACTCTAAATGACCTAGCACCCACTTGCATCACTTCCCAACACGTGATCTTAGGCATCTCTTCCACAGCACAGCAGAACGGTCCTAAGCACGGAAGGTAAACATTATAGTGGCATTTCCACATGGACACGGTTCGACGCAGAACGCTTATAAACCGGGCTCAGACATTTTATTTTGACACAGTTAACTAACCATGCTCAGGGCCACAGAACTCTTCACTGGGATGATGTAACAACATAGCTATTCGCTGACTGGTTCTACGTCGGTATTGTGTTGGCACCCTCCTGCATTATTTCAAACCCAAAACCAATTAAATAAGTTCAGTTTGCTCAATTTGTCAAGTCACGGATTCCAAATAAATGAAAGCAGTGCAAGATTTTAAATCCATCATTCAATAACCTTCAAAGCTTCAGTCTAACACCAATTTCTAAATGTTAAAGTTCCAGGACAGAGTAACTGTTTAGTATTAATGTAGCTAGCATACTGCTCACCACAGAACAGGTTTGATTCTGACTAACAAAAGCTGCGGTGATGCAGGTTTAGATGATAAACACTCAACTCTAAGGAAGCGAAGTCGAGGCTGGCGTTAGAGGGATAGAAAGCTGAAGTTAAACCTGTTCTGTGGTGTTTGGAGCTGTAGTGTCCTAGCTAAGCTAATGCTAGCTGGCTCCCCTCTCCTAGCTAACTTAACTAAAGAGATTTAAACATGCCAGTACAGGTTCAGTTTAACTAAATTGTGCTCTACTATCACAAGTATAGACTATAAAACCTTATATTAGCGAGAGCAAAGTCGTCTGATTGGTGTTGGAGTGACAGAAATCTAAATCCAACCTGTTCTGTAGTGTTTTTACTGTAACCTACTAGGCTAAGCTAACATGAGCGTATGAAACCTCCCACTAGAGTGCAGGCTCTGATCCAGCGAACCGATGCTTAAAAACACCTGTTTAGAGAATAAAGACTGAGATCACATATTCCAATGACTGGTTTTGAAGCAACAAAGATCCAAAGATTGTTCTGTGGCGCTTTGAACTGTACCCTCCTGGGCTAGGCTAATGCTAGTGTAGTTAGCTGGCTAAAGGTGCAATGGACCGCAGGACAGGCTCAGTTTCAGTAACTGGTGATCAAATACCACCCGTTTAGATGATAAAGAATCTGAGACCAATGTTGGAGTGACAAATAGAATTGAACGTGTTTTGCGGTGGGTGGTGTGTGTGTAAATATTAGACTGTTAGCAGTTAGCCACTCTATTGTGTACTTTTCTTCAAAACTTCCTGGTTCTGATTTAGCAGAACAGCAGACGGAAAAAGAAATCATAAACGGTCTCACAAGTCCGCACCAGCATAGAAACGGCACGGTACGGCCCTGAGAACCATTTGGCTCTACAGTGGAAAAGAGGCCTTTGATCTGCAGATACTGGACTTCTGAAAATACCTTCCATAAATACAGAAAACATGGGGAGGCATCTTTATGTTATTATGCTTCTAAACTGTGGAACTCAATGCCACATTTTATTGGACAGTCAAGCTCAGTGCACACTTTCAAGAAAAATTTATAAAAGGTATCTCTTCAACTTAGCATTTAATTAAAATTCGAAGTATTTTTGTTATTTTTTAGCTTTATTTATTAATTTGATCTGTGTCATTGCCTTATATGATTTGAAATCAATACTTATAGTTTCTTCTACTAGTCTTAAGCTTTATCACCTGTCTGTAAAGAACTTTGAAATGCCACCGGCATGAAAAGTTTTATAAAAGTATTATTATTATTATTATTATTATATGAACCCCTTGAAGACAAGTGAGTGCAGGTTTACCTGGGAAATGTGCGGCTGCGGAGCTCCTTTATAAAAACCTGGCTGCCGTTCTGAACCGGTTTGACGTCCCCACTCTGTCCCGTGTCATGTTTATTCCAGTTCTTTTTCTTTTTCACTGCAAAGGAAAATGCCCAAGGCAGAGAAAAAAGTAGCTTAGCCAAAGTCACTGAGGCACGGCCACTCTAATGCACATTTATTCCACTGACCTATTCTGAATTCATAATCAGCTACACTCTTTCACTGAGAAAAAATGAACACAATTCGGTATACGAAGAGCGCATTAAGAAGGACAAACTTACATATGGAGATACAAGGCATGAGGCAGTTTCCAAGAAAAAGCTTGAAAGATAAATCACTGACTAGAGCAAAAAACTGTAAACTACATGGGTTTCTCACGGCCTAAGGGTTTAAATTCTATACAGCATTAATATATGGTAATGTGCCCCTATGAAAGTAAATAGTATGCTTTTAATTATGCACAGTAGTGAAGCAGTGAAGGTACTCACAGGTGGATTTGCCGTGTGTTTTCTCACAGTTGGGACAGTGATAGATGTCAATGTCGGGTGCATCATCCTCATCTACTCCAACACAGCTGCAACACAACAAAACACATCACTTCAGAAGAGTTGCCCAGTCACTTCCATGTCAATGTCACTGCTGTGCAGAGAATGGTCTGCTATCCAAATAATATCTGGTCAGTAGTGGTCCCTTTCCATGGATTGAAGGAAAAGAGGGAGGGTGATACATTTCGCAAGGATGATCTACAGTCAATAAGTGCAAACCTACAACATGCACCTATAATGTAGATGTTTCTGATAAATAAGGCCAATGAGTGTAGCTACAAGGTGACAAAGGAGACATACTTGCCCTTTTTTTCAGTTAAATACAGTACAATATGCTCACTGAAACACAAATGTGTAGAGTATAAAACAAATAACACTTTAATTCAGCCTCTGATTCATGTATTTTACCCTTTCATTTGGTCCTGCGTAAAAAAAAGGTCATTTTCTGGGTGCTGATTTTGTACGCTAATCACCACTGCTCTCATCTACTGTCTCTGTACAGGGGGTGGAGTAGGGGGTGTTGTCACTGTGCCAGTTTGGAGAGCTCAACAATGGGGGCAGCTGAGCAGAGTATAGAGATAGAGAGACTGTACATGCTCTGCTTTTTAAGCTTGTGTCCACTGAAAGTCTGACACAGTCACTAAATCGTGTGCATGTGCCAGCTGAGCATGTCATTACACAGCAATGTTTAATGCAGAAACCTTTGTTTAGCTTTTGTTTACCCAATCTGTTACTGCTAAGATGCTAATTTCCATTAGCCTAGTAATGGGGACTTCTATGTTCATCAGTGTTAGCATCAAGCTAACAAGATGTCTCATTTTTAGATTCATTCCCTCAAAGTTCCAACAAAACATCATAAAAACCAGCTTGCTGGGCCTTTTCAATACGCTTCCTGATCAGAAACAGTGTAGCTCGACTTTCTTCAAGTTTAAAAATGAAGGACAAAAGCTGTACATTATCTCATTTACCTTTCCACTTTGAAAACGTATCTAGCACATTATCTTTCACAAGTATAGCAATTTATTTATCCATTTCATAAACAAAATATGACATAAAGTAGGCTGACCTGCTAACAGGCTAACAGCTGACAGGCTAATTAGGCCCCTTCAGAAATATTTAGCTACAGGCTGTAAGTTAAAATGTTTACTGAAAGGGTCAGACGAAATGTTACTGAAATGTTACCTGAATGTCTGTTCAGTCATCAGTAGACTGTGTTTTAGCTACAGCTGCCATTGTTATCAGTGTCATTATCAGTTTTTTACTGAAATGTTCAAAATAACATGTTAGCTATTTAGCTAACCAGCTGCATTTGTCTGTGATTTAACAAAATAACCTAACACATTATCTTTCACAAGTGCTGCACTTTATTTTTCCATTTCATAAACAAAATATGACATTAAAGTAGGCTGACCTGCTAACAGGCTAGCAGGCTAATTAGGCCCCTTCAGAAATATTCAGGTACAGGCTTTAAATGAAACTTTTTACTGAAAGGGTCAGACGAAGTGTTACTGAAATGTTACCTGAATGTCTGTTCAGTCATCAGGGGACTGTGTTCTAGCTACAGCTGCCATGAATCGAAAAAAAAAAAAAGGTTTAATTGCATTAAAGGTTGTGTTACTGACAAATAGCTGAGACATCTGTATGTGAAAGGGATGGTGGAATTATGAAGGTTAGCTGAGTATGCATGGTTACTCAAGTGCTCAACTGAGCATTTGCTTAATGTGACACAACAACAAGCATCAAATCCTAACAGCCTGCAGAATTACATGCTTTCTGTGAAAGGGAAACATGCCAAAACTTCACATTTCAGTTTCTTGGATGGCAGATACAGTGACAAGTGCATGTGAAATGGCAAGGAAAATGCAGTTTTGTTTATTATCTCTCATTCAAGACTAATTATTCTGTAACTACTATGAAATACATACGCAACATATATATTTATGGGAGTTTACAGGGTTTAAACAGCCTAATTCAGTGGCGCTGTTTCTTCTCTATAGCAGGAGAAAGCTGATAAGGGTTAACAGTGCCCTCAGTGTCCCCTGCCCTGCAATTTTTCCACCTACTGCACATTCCGGCCAGACGAGGGAGTCGGCGAGAGGGGAAGCGGATATTACACTGGGCTCACCCATGGCTCCTCTCCAGCACAATATTACTACCGCATGCAGCATTACTAATATCCTGCCTGCACTTAATTTAGTCAGTGGGTGGTGCGAGCCTTATGTCATGGTAAAAGTGATATATGTATATAAACAGTGATGTGTATATGATGATTACTTATATAACGTGGACCGCCTTACATTATCCAGTACTGCATTGTGTGTACTGCTTTGTTTGTCACTGTCATGCCCGGTTTGTGTTGTATGAACCATACATGTTGCACCAGCGATAAACCTTTTTATTACCCTGCTGTGGTATAATGGCAATAAAGCCGAACTGATCTGAACAAGGCCTTCTTAGGAGGCCCCATGTAAGACCAGTGTTTGCGTGACAAACCCACAATACAACGTTCATGACCCATTTGCAACAGGATTAAAGGAGCAGTAAGTCCAGCAATCAAATGTAGACCATTTTCCTCTTACTCCAAGGTTAGTCTATCAGTCAAGACACAGTTGGTATCTAAAGCAATGAAGCTACAAGGCTAATGCAGCTAGTAATGGAAGCCTACCATACCATAGGCACTGTGTCCTTGGGTCATTCCTATTTGCCTCCTACAATGGTGCCAGAATAGTCCTATGAGTGATATTTTCTGGTGTGAAGACTAGGAAACCCCCTTCTGATGATGTATGTTTTAGATGGGTCAAACTTTTAAAGAGCCACAACTGCTTTGGGGGGTACATGAGGGTTGACGTTCCCCCGCTAGTTGGCTAATGCAGAAGGAAGCCAGATCGCCAATGAGGCTGCTAGGAGGCCAAATATTGTCGCATATATTAACCTTTACATGAATGCCTTTCTTTATCACTGTGAGGGGATTCCTAATGATTGGACCACATATGTGAATAATGCATGCTGGGTATTGTAGTGAGAAAAAAGGATACAAAATGAATTCTGTCAAACCAATAAAGCCGAGGGATGCAATGCTGTGATGCAGAATATTATCCAACATATTAAACAGTAGTTTTATGCCTGAATGCCACTTTAAGTCATCTTAAACAGACTTGCTAATGTGGTTTCTGACACCATACGACACACTGTTATCTATAAAAATGGACATAAGATAATAGTATTTATAGATAACAGTATAGATGACATATTATGTCAGAAACTATGTAAGCAGGTCTACTTGAGATTACTTAACAACTCGACACAGTTAGGGCTCGTGCTTGATGATTTAGGCATGGAGTTTGTTAAATGTCCATTTCTTGTTGTGAAATACTGCTTTTAGACAAGTGCCCCCCCTCTCTTCTGCACTGTCCATTACTCGATGGCGATCGTTTGCATCTGCACACTTCCCAGTGGAGGGCCTTTCCCATATTGATTTAAAGAGGAAATACACAACTGTTCTTCCTCTGCTGGTGAACATCCAATAAAAGCAAGCAGACTGTTAATTGGGTTTCCCACTAATGGGCTTTGTACACGTATAATCTAATTTTGCATGCAGTGAGACGCTGTTTGCCTGCTGCAAACCACCAAGTGCACTGTTTACGATAATGCATTTTCATATAACACCTCTGAGCATTAACACATCTTAATGATCATGAGGAAACTGTTAGAAACATTTTATACAATCCTGTAGAAATAGCATAACTGTTTGCCACTCTATAATTTTTTATAGATTATATTAAATTCTTTAGGAAGCATTCTATACATTAGACATACTCACTTCATGTTATTATTAATAAGCACTGATGGAAAGAAGATTTATTACTAGTAATATCAGAACACTATTAAATACAAAATTAGTAATCAATGGGGAAAAATGAGGACTAAGATAATAGTAGAGATGTAACGAACTGTGGGCTTATGCCAATATCCAATATTTTTCATGTTCAGTCATATGCTAAAGTTTGTGCACCCTTGGTCAAGTGACATGTTTTGTTGATTTTCTATGTTAAAAATAAGTTAAAAGATCCTCTACAGAGAACACACATTTTAATGCACAATTGCTGTTTATTTGATAAATAACATGCATATATATATATATATATATATATATATATATATATATATATATATATATATACATATATATATATAAAATGTGGTCTGTGCAAACGTTATGTCACATCCTATATTTTATTTTTTCCAATTTCCAGACAAACACTGTATTCAAGCATGTTCTTTGTAGAGGATGTGTTAACTTATTTTCAGTTACAAAATCAATAAAACAATAAAACCGCAAGTTCAAACTTTTGCACATGACTGCACATATCTGTCGATGCTGATGTATAAACATTTATATAAAGTATGAACTGTGACTACATCTACCTGGATTATCATTACAGAGAAACATTTGTAGTATTAGAAATGCAGTAAAATGAATAAAATGCAGATATTTTAGCACAGTAGCCCAGCATCACCTGTATGTTCTGTATGCTCTTCTACAGTATAATAAATGCATTACCAAATATCACCTTGAAACATTGGCCAAATCCAAACATATGTTCAACTCCGATCACTTATTGGAGTAAATATCTGCTGGTACCGATATGATTCTGATATCATTGTAAAACCCTTAATAATAGCAATAAAACAACCTTAAATCTCAGCCCTCATGACGATTTAATTCAATTATTTTGGTACGATTCAGGGTTATTAAAAAAAAATCACAAATATAACTGGAGGAACTATTTACATAGTAGTAAAATACAGACAATACAAATAATACAACAAGCATTTTTTTGGCTGTTTACATTTGAAAGTAGCCTGTAAAGTTTTATTTTGGCAAAATGGAAAAATAAAAACAAAATACAAACTGTAGAGGTGAGTGACACTGCATAAATGTATATGTAATATGTATAGGTAATATAGCCATACTTCACTAAGTTTCCATAATACACAACATGTCACTATATATATATATAGAAGTTGG